ATTCATTAAAATGATTGGTCAGGAATATATAATTTATTATTATTGTTATGATTAGTAATTGAATGAATTAAGATAAGAGTATGATGAAACCATGTGACGCACCACACTTCCGGTGGGATAAGGATAAGGCTGCGGATTGGGATTGCTTCCGCAGTTCTGCCAAGAACAAAGACAAATTATACCATAAATCTTTATTTACATTGCAAGATTAACTACGAATAAATATTTATTTTTACTATACTAATATTTTTTTTATATAATACAATTGGCTCTATTACAAAATATAGTATATGTTCTATACTTTCTCTAACTACAGTAACCCAAAGAATCAATACCCCACCACCAAAATTTGATCATGTGACCTTCCCTCAAGGGGAGCCACAGAGGTGCCCTTTGAGCACAAGGTGCTTGTCACTAATAATTATTTTTAATTTAATACAAAATAAATTTTAAAAATACATTAAAAATAATAAGTATGCGATATATTTAAAATGAATATATAAAAACTGAATATGCGGTATATTAAAAATGAATCTGTATGATAATTTATTTTTAAAAAAAAACATATGTTAATTATTCATATTATAAGCATTACATTTTTCTTCAAAAGTATTACATTTTCTCATATAAATAATAAACATTTTATTCATTATTAGTATTACATTTTTCAGTATAAGTTTTAGTGTGTTACATTTGATCTTGATCTGACATGTCTTATATACAAGAATCTATAAGGTAATCTTACACACGTTTTTGTCAATTTTTAATAAAATGATGAAAGAATAAATGCATTCCCTCTCTTTTTTAATTTTTTTTAAAACTCAAAATAAAATAAATAAATAAATAATTCAATTGTTGAGTGTTACGTGTGTGTTCCGAGAAGCAGCACCCTACACGCAACAACTAGTTGCACATGCGGCCAATGTGGCAATGCTTACTTTTTCGTCCATTAAAAGCTATTTATATAAAAAGTTGACTAACAGTAAACTAATTATAAAAGTATCCTCTAGGGCATGTTTAAATTGTTATGGATTTTGGGGAATTTTTACATAAATAATTAAGAGAGAGAATATGAGAAAAAATGAAAAGAAGGAAAAAAAAATATAAATGGAATAACACGCTCAACAGGCGCATGGAGTTTACGTGCCCGACTGGGTACTTGTAGTGCACATAATGCGCATCATAGAGCGATTTCACTGATTTGGTGGATTTTACCCATCTTAATTAAAAACTAAGGTTTTCCTGTACATAAAATTATATTTCTTTAAAAACCATTCTAAAATCTCTATTGGGGATACTCACCGCCTGTAGAGGTGGGTAAGGATATAGAATCAAGCATTCACACTTATTAGAGTGTGAGAGTTTCACCTTATTCTATGATGGTTTTTTACGGGTACTAAGTATTGGCCTTTTAATTTATGAGTCGATAAGTCATTGTGATATATGGTCGCACTAGATGCAATAGATAGATACTTGTTGTTCGTACAAAACAAAACCTTGCTTGGTGTGCTTGATTATATCAAGTTAGAGGTGTAAGTGAGTCAAGTCGTTCAGTCAAAACTTTGTTCGGATTATTATAAATAAGTAAATATTCATTTATATATAACTACACCCTTGAACTCGAACGTTATCAAAATTAGTGAGCCAACCTTGAAACTATTTTTTAATTCGATCGAGGTTAAGTTCAAACTCAAATCACTATAACTATTTCAAATTCAAACTTGAGCTTACCTAGGTTCAAGCTCAGTCTAGCTTGTTTGCGCTCTTACATCAAGTATTGTAAAAAGTGATAAGAAATATTATTTGAAACAATCTAAATAACATAAATAATTATAAACCATACAAAATACATAAGTGTCTTTTGACATTGAAAATAAGAAATTTATTATATTGTTTAAATTAATAAAAAAGAACAAGGAGTACAAAAGTTTTCCTTTGTGTCAATTTTTGTGGACCTCATCTTCCCATACCTGGAAAGATACTTGATAGAGTGCTCATCTGATCCATACTTGTTTAAACAATTAAATTTTATCACCAATTAAAAAGTAATAATAGCTTAAAACTTCTTTAAATTTTTAATTTTTTTCTCTAATTAAACCTGTTAAAATTTTTTTTTTTTTAATATTTAGTCCAACATTTTTTTATTCAAATCATAAGTTTTCTCAGTCATGATACACTACTTGTTACTACACCAGAATCGGAACTAATCCGGTTTATATCGGTAGGACCTCAAAAAGTAACAAAACACTTTTTATATATACCAGTACTAATCATATTTGTGCCAAGTAAAACATCAAAAAGTAACAAAAGGTAATTGAACTTTCTCAAAACTCAAACCTAATACATTTACTCTGATTATTAAGTTAAAAAGAACACTTATTACACAATTTTATCCACATTCCACGGTGGTCCAACATAATTTTTGAAGTTTGTTTAATATATATATAGTATGTCACTAAGAGACTGGTGCGCTTTATAATTATTTAGTGGTCCAATTTTCCTCAATATAATTTCACCATCTATCATTTTCAAGTTGATGTCCATATCCAATAGCCAGCTCAATTCCACTTTAAAGTTTTCTTTCTTAGGGGAACTTTAGTGGAGTTGTTATACCATGGACCAGGGTTCACCTTGCAAGATAGACCCTGGTTTTAAATGATGTATAAATTATGTATTTTAATATTAGAATTGTAGATTTTTAAAATATAAATTGTGTTTCAGTAATTGAGATTCGTGCGACGATCTCATAAAAATTTTCTTAAAAAATTATAATATGAATTTCTAAAAAGCTATTGATGCCAATTAGGTTTTGGAAGCAAATCACCAACTCCCCTTTTGTAGAAGGGTCCCCTCGTGACATAATACTAATATTCCATCCGTGACTTAATCCCAATGTTTGTCTTTTCCCATGTCCTCCCTCTTCTTTCTTGTCTTTTTTTTTTTTCTATTCACAAATTATTTTTGTGTTTGATGGTATCAAATCTGTCCTTATTTCTCTAGACTAGATGACGAGAAAATATACAATTATTATTTGATGACCTGTATTGAATACATTCTATTCTTATATAATAGTCTATAAATCATATTAAAAAAAATAATAATAATACACTGTACTAAGAAAATCTTATGAGATTTGATCACTATGGTATGGATCATGAATGCAATATACATTTGTAATATACTAAAAGTACATTATTTGATAATATATATATATATATATATATATATATATATATATATATATATAAAAGTCATGTACTTTCAAAGAATGTACTTTTATGTATACAAATAATATACTTTTTATTTATGGTTCACACAAATGTGTGAACCATGATTCATGGAATATTGACAATCGTTATGCTATACAACGCAAACGACAACGGTTCACTATGGTGGAGTAACGGTGCCATTAGTGGCACCGTTTAATTTCATCAATCAATTTTTTTTTTTAAACTCCAATCTGCCATAAGCCAAAACAGAGTACCAGTAACCGGTGTTGATATACAGTTTACTAATTCTGGATATATAGTTCATTAATTCTAGATATATAGTTCACTAATTCTGGATATATAATTCATTAATTCTGGATATATAGTTCACTAATTCTGAATTTATAGTTCATTAATTCGGAATATATAGTTCATTCATTCTGAATACACAGACGCAGCGAACTGTCATAAGCCAAAATAGAGTACCAGTAACCGGTATAGATATATAGTTCACTAATTTTGGATATATAGTTCATTAATTCTGAATATATAAGTCAATTATGCACAACATAATGCCGTTAACAACAATCAAATTTTTTTTTAAAAAAAAAAAAATTAAGTCGGAGGCGTCGTTTTTAATCAGAACGAAGTCGTTTTGCAACATGGTGCAACGGTTGCACGGCATAATTTGCCGAATAATGATTGCTAAGATTACTGGCTGGCTGGCAGGCTTAGAGGCTTAATTGCCCATTTTCCGTCAAAAAGAAAAAAAAAAAAAAAAAAATCGGAATAACTAGGATTACTGGTTGGCGGGTTAATGCTTCATGCCCATTTTCCGTGAAGCAAAGGAAAAAACTCCGCTGCCGGGATTCGAACCCGGATTCTCTCGAAATATATCGACGAATTAACCAGTGCTACAGCGGATATCATTGATACTAACGATGGAAACATTACCTATTAATAACTTAGTATGTTCGCCGAACCGTCAAAAAGAAAAAAATTCCGCTGCCGGGATTCGAACCCGGATTCTTTCGAAATATATCGACGAATTAACCAGTGCTACAGCGGATCTCATTGATACTAACGATGGAAACATTACGTATTAATAAGTTAGTATGTTTGCCGAACCAATCTATTACACTTTTGGCATTGAAAGGTTTAAAATATGGAAATTATTAAGGTGAGAATGTTTTCGTATTTCAAACATGATTAAATAGGAAATATTCAATTTTTTTTTGAACAAAAATAGGAAATATTCAATTGAAATACTCTAAATGATTTTTTTAAAGTTACTTTCTAAAAATATACGTGTTTCTAAATTGTAATTTTTGTTTCTCATTTTCAATTTTCATTCATTATGGTTTAAATATTAGGGTTGTTGATCCAAAGCGATTCGGCTAATGTTGTAAGCAGGGTTATTGATCCCATGTCCAACTTCACAGACGGAGGATCACTTAATAACATTATGTCCGATTGTAGGTCTTGAATGTTGAAGAACTGGGAGGTTCACTGCCTCCACGTGCAACGGGAACATAATCAAATTGCAAATTGGCTCGCGAAGAATCGTGGTTTGGATCCTGGCTTGGTGTTGTTCCCACGGTGTCCTAATAGGGATTTGGATTCGCTTATTCACAATGATGTTTTTGGGGTGCCTTGCGCCCGCGATGTTTATCCAAAAAGTAAAAAGAGTCAAAATCCTTCACTACCTAAATTCGAACCAATATTATTACATTTTAACTAAAAAGTACGGAGTATTACACATTACATGTCACATGACGATTTCACAAAAAATTTACTCTTCACAAATATCATCATCATTGAATTAACCAATGCCACGGAAGAGCTAATTGCTATCAATTTTGAACCACAGATTGAACATCTAAATTGGATAACTGAGTTGCAATGTTCAATGGACTCTATGTACAAGTTGCCAGGACAGGGAAATCTGTTACCTAAGGCGGCAGAATTTGGTGAGGTAGTAGCAGATCATATAGTTCTCAGCCTAGGCACCGGTATCGGCGTAATGCCAGAATGTCAAGAACTCCAATGATGTCTTCCGTGGCAAATAGTTCCATGCAAAATTTTCTAAACATGAATATGTCAATACTCAATTCCTTCTAGTACTAAGAGGGCTTCTTTCCCGAGTTGCTCCCTAGGAATGTATAAACTCTTTTTTGAAAAACACGAGCTAATTCGACAATTTCTGATTCCCTTATCTGCTGGGTTATGCTGTCACAATGTGATAAGCACTTGCCCTTGTGAGATAATATGCTTGCAATGTCAACAGTCAACTTGGCTATCTCTCTGCGGTTTGTTAATGCAAGCAAAACAGACCCTGCGTATTGGGGATGTGAAACGAGTCTGTTCAGCAGAATAAGTGCCTCTCTAATCATCAGAGTTCTGCCAGAAAGAAAGTGGATCATATTAGCAAAAGAAATGAGAGAGAACATCCACATATAAGACCGATTTACCCATTTTAAGATACCTTTCTTTAGACTCTTCAGGGTGTTGAGCTGTATCTAATGCTTCTACGTCCAAAACAGATATTAAGCTCTGCAAAATTATGGTGAGGAAGTTGATTCTTTTTGGAAGCCTATGATTTAGGAGAACTTCAATGCCAGTCTTCCCGGAAGAAGCAAGGAAAGCTAGCAAAATTATTAAATGCCTTTGAACCTGTAATTCCTGAAATTTTTGGAAACATGAAATTCTGTGCTGATGTTTCATCTTCGTGATTTCCAAATGAAGTCAGTAAGAAAGAAAATTGGGAATTAATTAAGCATTAAGTGATTTGGAGATTCATCACCATTACATGAAAGGTACTTTACACCATGCATCTGCCCTATCATCAAGGGTAAGATTATGATTATCAGCAAATCATTGGTAATTCCAGTGGATTCAGTTTCAGTAAGGTTAAGGGGTATGATAATCCACTACCCAATGCACCCAAGAGGCCAAGAGAGAGAGAGTTAGAGAAAAGAGTCAAATTCACCCAAAGCCAAATTTAACTCGGAGCATATTTTCTATTTCACAGTGGTTACAAAATGCAGTGAATTTAATTTGCAACTATGCAGAAAGTGAGTGATGGACATGTTTGTTCGGATCTAACATACTAAACCACAGTCACTATACATGTGCCTTTTTCTATTGTAGAAGCATCTAAGAACAGTATTTGGCAAATCTTTAAGAGACCAACACTTTTTGCAGCCTAAGAAAGAAAACAGATAAAACTATAAAAATATTCAGCTAAATTCAGTTCACAACCAAACCTGGTAGTACATTTTCACTTATCCAGATAAAAAACAATCAGAATGTATTACAAGTCCAGAGAAAAAAGAAAGAAGAATGAATGGAGTTGGGTTATCTTAGCATACCTCAGCACTTTTCCCACTGCAAGATAGACAATCAGCCAAACCCTCAAAAATCCTACAGATTACTTGAAAAGCTGAAGAGTTTTTTGCATTTGCATCACCAGTGCCTATACTTTTCCCTTCCACAAAATTGCCGAAAAATGATGCCATAACTTTTGGACCTTTGTCAAAATAATCAGGGAGGGAAAACTATCAGTTCAAGAATTAATTAATAATTACACTAGCATCTTCCAAGTAGATTAGTCCATAAGGTAATGGACAAGAGATGTGATGTAAACAATTATTGCTCTATCTTGAACATCTGAAACAACAATAATTTCAGACAATGCTTAAGTGAAATGTGGTAAAAGGAAATGACACTACATGGTGATCTTAAACGATTTCCTACTTCAAAAAATTAGAAAAGGAAAATGCTATTTTGCAGGCATTGAGTAGATAATGAAAGCAACATAAAGTATTATAGGCAATGCATGAGAGATAATGATGCACAATTAGCGAACTTAAACATTACTGACCTTCCCAGCCAAAAAGAAATATAAAGAGAAAAATCATAGAACTAACACCAGCATTTATCTTTTATGTTCAACTGTTCAAGCCACCAAGCAAACCAGGCACTTACAATTAAGCAACAGGTAAAGGAGACGCACAGCTTGCTTCTGTACACGATAGCCAGCTTCCTTCCTCAATAGTTGTGAAACACTTAGAAACACAATCTCTGATCCAAACCTGAATACAAAAAATGTGTGTGTATATGTGTGTAAGAGCATTATATAAAATGAAAACTAGACCACTGTCATTGAGGGGAAATTTAAAATAAAAATGAAAAAATAAATAAATAACTATTTACTTACTTTTCCCTCTCCGAGTACGTACGATTTCTTACAAGAATCAAATTCATAATAGAAACTGCTTCCCATCTTACATGTTCTAAATCATTCATCATGATAATTTGGCACATCATTTCAAACAATGAGAGATAGTTGAAACTTGATGTGAAAACTGAAGTTCCAGGATTAAAGAATCCCGTTCTTGGAAATGTATCACTATTATTCAATATTGCTCCATAAAGAGCATGACTATGATCTAACGTCTCTTTGGCATGGCTTCCTCTTCTAGAATATCCATTTTCATCTAGTTCCATGAGATTGCCTTCAAGGGAAGGTTCCTCAACAATCACATTGGACCTGGTACAGTACACTGAAAGATCAAATTAAAGCATATAAGGAAACAAATTGCCGGACCTCAAGGGAAGATAACATGCACTGTATGTATGTTGTGTAAAGGAGCAGGTCAGCCATAGAGGCCCTAATATATCATGAGAAGATCTGCCTTATGATGTTACATAGAACTGATAGAAGCATGAAGTAGAACTTTTTTCTAAAAAATAATTTTATCTTACCATGTAAACAGAAATTAGTATTACTTAATAGCTCTGCTAATTTAAAATTGGCAATGACCAAAAAAAAAGTAACAATTTGTTTGTCCCATTCAGGCCTTCAATTATAAGAGTCTTGCTATCACAGAAATGAAGGTAATGCCATTAGGCCCATTACAGTGATCTGTATTTGTAAATTGTAAATGACATGTTTGAGAAAATTCAACCACACATGGTGTGAAGAACAAGAATGGACCAAGGTATGCCCCGTGTATTTGTATTCTTTGGGTTAATATTATAATTTACCATTACCCAAAAAAGAACAGGAATGTTGAGAATCTTCTCAAGGGCTCTCTTAAAATGAGTCCATAACTCTTTAAGCATTCATTCATGTTGATCAAGTTTAGCTAATTTAGTAAACTCATAAAGCATCAAGCTCTTCGGTGATGCAAGAAACTTAAACTTGGTAAATCTGATAATGTTTGGATAGAGGAAGGAATGTACTTGAGCAACTAAATCATACCTTCTATCTTCCCTCCTTTCTGTACATAAATTGTAGCTCAAAACCTCATGCAAGATATGGAGAGCCCTGTACACTATAACAACCTGCATTCAGAAAATATATACTCAAAGTGATCATAAAGACAAAAAAATTGCAATAGTTCGTGAAAAGAGCTGTGTAAAAACTTCCAATAACATAAATGAAGCTCCATGAATCTCAATAGCTACAGAAATCCAAGACAAGTTGTGGAGAGTAAAGGAAGCAGAAGCATGTTAAGGACACTCCAAGGATCCCCACGTTGGAAGCATCTTTCATCAATGCTAGTATAACTGCCACACTTTTAACTATAAATAGATTATGATGAAGCATAAACAGTGCAATGAAGCTACTACAATTCCCAAATTGAAGATTTATTGCAAAAGCTTGATTTTTTATAAATTTCATAAACTTGACTTAAAATCTTTACAACTAAAATAAATTGAAAAGGATAATACACCAATAGAGACATGCATGTCATCAGTAAAAGGTTAGTAACTCCTTCAATATTTTAACACTACCTCTGAAAAATTATTATAAAAATGACTTCTAATGCTGAATACAAGTCGAAATCTTCAGAATCTGACTTTTATGCATACATACATGCATATAGAATCTCTGTGCTATATATGTCCAAGTTCCAACTTCCAACCCCATCTTTGAAAAGTTGACAGATTCTTCATGTGCACCAGTTAGGCAGATAATGAAATTAAAATATAAACATAAATAAAAACCACACACACACAAATAAGCAAGTGGTGCATTCTACAGTCTCTATCCCTCAACTATCCATGATCAACTTCAAATATGTAATAAAAACAGACGATGGAATTTGAGCCCAGCAAAAAGAAACTACATGGACCCTAAATTTAAGTAAACAGGCAATAGAAATAGGAACCACAAATTCAGCATTTGAAAAGATTGATCATTATTTCCATTTAAAAATGCCTCTGCAGCCTGGGAAAAAATAGTATGGATTCACAACTAAGACATAAAACGCAACAAAAATAAATAAGTGAAACAGTGCATGAGTGATCAGGTTAAAACTCACATTTTTAAGCCGGCAAAGATCAACTAAAGCATCAAGTAGATCATCCAAGCTTATCATCTCATTACTGATCTGAAAGAAATAAAGGAAAAAATAAAATAAAATAAAATAAAATAAAGTAGGCACTGAATGTATGAAATAAAAAGGTTCTGTGGTACAGAACTAAGTATCTTACTTGATAAAACAATCAACTTATAAAGAAATGACTCTAAGAAGGTAGAATTTTTTATCTTCTTTCCTTGGTGTAAATTCTTCAATTAGCTGCTCTTTTGTTTAGATGAAAGGAATACCAATGAGATTGGAAGAACTAGGTTCACAAACACATGCTAAAATAGGCTGCAGGATACATATTTTGTATAGAATGTTAATGGACCTACACAGATACATATTTGGTAAATCGAATGATTGAATTGATTTTAAATAAACTGCAGGCAAGTAATACCAAGAACAGCAGAGCACCATATTGTGACAGCAGAATATCAGGTAAGGAGTTTTAGATATTCAAAGTTCTATAAAACAAGAGCCTGATGAGTAATAGCATAAGCAAATATGCAGAGGCATCACGTAAACATATACCTTGGACAACACAGAATAAAGATGAGATACTTTTGCAGATGCATTGAGATGATCTTGCAGCGGAGCTTCCTCCATAACCACTCTAGAGTCAGAAATGGATAATTCTGTTCTTTTCTTGGAGGGGAAACTGGAATCCAGAAACCCAAAGAGGATGCGGAAATCAGCTTCACAAGTCTCCGAAACCAAAATTCTTCCTAGTTTCTGGCCAGATGATGACTCCCACGCATCTAATAGCTTTTTCTTACATTGATAAGCAGCAGAAAAATCACTTTCACCAGTTAAGTTGGTAGATACACTGACTTTTTCAGTCTGGACTGTACATAAGATACAGCGAAACATTGGATAAGCAGCTAGCAGTATAATTATCCATAAACCAATTTCTCGATACAACTATAGTAAATTCTCACCAACACTTGTCTCGTTTTTCTCTCTTTCCTTTCTCAATTGAATGCATTCCAGTTCCTGAAGTTGTAAATTAACCCCAATGTAAAGATATTAGCCCCAACAATGTATATAAAGAATACATAATGGAACAAACAATTTGGGAATTTGATACTCAGGAGATATTTGTTTGTAACTTTTAATAGGTGAAATTTTACGAGACAAAACTGGAACAACACTTAGTGCCTTGGTGATATACAAATTAGGACAGTAATTATTAACCAGCAGCAATATGAAGAATAAAATACAAGTATTATAAGAATCATAACAGAACTCCCATTCCCATGTTAGAGATGCAGACATGAACACCTAAATTCTCTATCCAGGGTTCTAATGCATTCCATGATAAGCATAAAACTATAGTGTGGGTCAGTGAGTCAGTCACGTGCAAAAGCTTTCTTGAGAGTTTATATCGAGTAGTTCATGTCTTTTGCAAGCACCAATGCATCATAGATCATTTTTAACGCACCTTCTGAGCAAGCAACTCCGAAAAACGACCAAGCTCTCTCTGAAATCAAAAGATTTAAAGCGCACATTAGCCACTATATTTCAAAAGCATCCAAAATGATTGGCGAGGTTATGGTTATAACCGTTACTGTTTACTGATTAACCGAACACTAAACAATTTTATATTGATTGATATTGTTTCAACCTTTAATTTGTCAATTTCTTGTTGTTGAGCATTTAGGGGAGACTGACTGGAACCATGGGAGGTGGATGACGCTGCCTCTTGATTTTCCCTCTGAGAGAACTCCCGCGGAGGCGAATAACTGATGGCGTCAAACTGCGGCGCTGCCGCCCGCCGCGGAGATGAATAGCTGGTGACGACGAACTGCGATGCTGCCGCCGAAGTCCGCGGAGCTGAATGGCTGGTGTCGACTAACTGCGGTGCTGCCGCTGTCGCCGGTGGCTGCGGTTGAGGAGCGGGCGGAGGATGAGGAGAATGGCGTAGCTGGCCAGAGGCGAGCTGAACGGCTATGACCGCTTGGTCGATCTGGTCCAGGAATTCGTCGGTGAAGAGCATATCATCGTCGGAACCCTCGCCGTCCATCGCCTTGCTCTCCGACGTAACTGCGACGTGCAAAACTGCAAAATGACCGTTTAGCTTCGATGCTTTAGGTTACAGGGTAGTGGGGTGCTGTATTTTTTGAGATTTTTCCTTTTTATTTTGTTTTCGCGCTTTCTGCAGTTGCTCCGGATAGTTTAGGCACGAGTAAAACATTCGGATAATTTGATAATGAGACTTTGGGTATAGTTCATATCCTTTCGACTCTCTTGTTGAAATTGTACTTTCATTATCAAAGAGTATAAAATTTTGAGACTACTATAACAAAAATGAATTTTAGAATGAGATGATTAAAAATGAAATTATGCTCATTTTTTTTATAGATGTTGAGGGATAATTATCTTCTTGTTACCAGGATTATGTTGTCTAATGGTACCTGTGTTGGATTTTCATTTGGAAGATTATGAGTTTGAGCCTCAGTGGAGGCGTTATTAGTTGGTTGAGAAAGTATTTGTTAACAGATACTATCTTCTTGTTTAAATTTTGAGATATGAGAGTGTGAGACATGTCAAACAATTATTCACACATTCTCGTATAATGCCCAAATGAGGGTAAAATGCGCACGTGTGCAAAGTTGACGAGCAAGCAAGTAGTTCGTGTAGGGTCACTACACTTCGATCGATCTCGCACCTCCGTCATTTGACGTGTACACGAGTTGCTTCTGACAACAAGTGCACACTCAATGAATCACTTTATATCATTTCGTGTCTTATAAATGACTTTACCTGGTAGACTATTGAAATTTGAGATCCCGAACTATACAAATATCTTACTAAACTAACCAGTGATATTCTCAACCCTTTAATGACTGGGCAAGGCTAGGAACTATACTATTAGGAATCTAGGATTTGAGATAAAATATAAAAACAAACATAGCTATTTAATATGATTATATGAGTACTTGTTTTATTTATTATTATTATTATGGATTTTGGGTATGCGTACAAATATAAAGAACAAGATAGTGGATATGTCTTCTTGACTTGCAAACTAGCTTCTCACTAAATGAATTAAATTAAATGTCTCTCACAAACAAAATAAACTTAAAATGCACTTATCATCCAAAGAAAAAAAATAGACAATTTCAATCAAATTTAAAATATTACAATTTGTTTTGAACTATTGGACTATGGAGTATTTATATATAGATATTTATATATTTAAATTGCTAAAATATTATAGGTTCTTTACCCATTAAAGTAACTCTCCATCGCCCTTCCCTACCCCCACCCCCAATTGGGGTATGAAACATTCTCCCCAAAAGCATTGTTGTTTTTGGGACATGAATAATGATTTTTGTTCAAAGCTTTGTTGCTTTTCACGTGGATTGTCATATGCATTTAATGTTATGTCTCAATGAGTAAGCTAGTTGCATGAGTTACTTGGTTGATGACAAGCAATGAGGTGATTAAGCAACTTCTTGAACTCTTTCCATATCGGAAGGTGGCGATGAACATCATTTGTCGACAAAAAAAGTAAATAAAAATAAAAATAAATTATATACATACATACATACATACATACATATATATATATGGTCAAGTTCCTGTGAGGTCAGGTCTTCCCGTGCGGTCAGTGCGGCATACACCATTAAACATTAACTGACGCACTTTAAATACACAACATGCGCACATTAAGCACAAAACTCACGCATGTTAAGCACAAGCCGCACGCACCTTAAGCACAGTACTCATACACCTTTTAAGTTTCAACAACTACTCACCTTAAACACAAACTCACACACCGTAAGCACAAAACTCACGAACTTAGGGTCCGTTTGGAAAGCAGGAAAATGACTTCTGGAAAATGAGTCATTTTCCGGAAAACATTTTCCTTTCCAGTGTTTGGTTGCATTATGGAAAACTGTTTTTCTGTGTTTGGTTCATTTTCTGGAAAATGAGTAGAATTGTATAATTAAACATTTTAATTATTTTATTTAGAATATTACAACATGTATAATAATATAATATTAATTTTAAATATAATAAAAAATAGCTAAGTTTTTCAAAAAAAAAAAAAACTAATAATATATCAAAAATATTATGGTGGTGGTGGTGGTGTAGTGGTAGTGGTGTTATTCGTTATATAATAATAATAATAATAATAATAATAATAATAATAATAATAATAATAATAATAATAATAATAATTGGTGGTGGTATGACGGTGGTGGTGTGGTGGCGGTGGTATGGTGGTGGTGGCGACGGTGGTGGTTGCGGTGGTATGGTGGTGGCAGCGGCGACGGTGGTTGCGGTAGTATGCTGGTGGTGGCGGCGACGGCGTTAGTGGTGTTGGTGTGATGGTGGTGGTAGTATGACGGTGGTGGCAGTGGTCGTGTGGTTGCGGTGGTGGTGGTGGTGGTGGCGGCGACGGTGGTTGCGGTGGTATGGTGGTGGTGGTGGCGGCGGTGGTATGGTGGTGGTGCTGGCGGTGACGACGGTGGCGGTGTGATAGCGGTGGTGGCGGTGGTATGGTGGTGATGGCGGCGGCGGTGGTATGGTGGTAGTGGTGGCGGCGATGGTGGTTGTGGTGGTATGGTGGTGGTGGCGGTGGTAGCGGCGACAGTGGTTGTAGTGGTATGGTGGTGGTAGTGGTGGTTGCGGTGATATGGTGGCGGTGGTTGCGATGGTATGGTGGTGATGGCGGTGGCGGTGGCGGTGGTATGGTGGTAGTGGTGGCGGCGACGGTGGTATGGTGGTGGTGGTGGCGGCGGCGGCGGTGGTGTGGTGGCGGTGGTATGTGGTGGTGGTGGCGGTGGTGTGGTGGTGGTGGTGGTGGTGGTAGTGGTTGCGGTGTTGGTGGTGGTTGTGGTGGTGGTGTGATGGTGGCGGGGGTATAGTGGTGGTGATGGTGATATGGTGTTGATGATGTTGGTGGTGGTGTGATGTTGGTGTAAAAGTTGGAAAATGACTTCCTCCCAAAAAAAGGGGAAGTCATTTTCCCCCAAAACAAGCCTATTTTCCAAAGTCAATAGAAAATGATTTCCGTTGACTTGATTTTCCAGGGACATCCAAACACTGGAAACTTGGAAAATGATTTCCAGAACTCATTTTCCAGGTTTCCAAACACACCCTTAAGCACAAAATCACTCACTTAAGTTTTCAACAACTCACACATTAAGTACAAACCTCACGCACATTAAGAACAAGACTCACGCATTTGAAGTACAAAATTGACGTACGTTAAAACCGCACAACTGCGCAGAAAATACTTAAATGCACTAAAACTTATATATATATATATATATATATATATATATATATATATATATATATATATAACTTTTTTATGTGATAACCTAATTGCACAATTTTAAAGAATTGAATGACTTAATTGTTTTTTCATCATGAGGTAAAGGATCTATTCGACTATTTTTCCTGTGTTTTTTGTTTTTTTTTTTTTTTTTTTTTCTAAAGATATAAAGTATAGAAATCTCAACCTAATCTCTCCGGCAGTAGGGGTCGGGGCCGCCGGAAGACATCCAAAAGTCAATAGAGAACGCAACACGTTCAACCGACTTCTTACCTTAAAGCCATTTGTCTTTCGATTCACGCATCGTCTATTCGTCTTACCTTATTAATAATTATTCTATTCTCAGCTTTTCCAAAATCCATACACTTACCTCATCTGCCAATATTAAACTCCTCAAATTTTACGAGGATGCACTATGCCGCAGGCAGAATCAGCACGAAAACAAACCAACCCAGCAAGCCACCAGCTCACGGCATGCCCCACTCCATCCGATTAACATTCTAGAGAGAGAGAGAGAGAGAGAGAGTGACAGAACAGGAAAACAAAAGCAACTCGACCAATCCGTTGTGTTTTCTTTTTATTTTTATTTTTTTTTTCGTTTGTTTCCCCCTTTTTTAGCTGGTTGTTCTTCGGGTTAACATGGTGGGTATTTTTTCAAGATTTTCAGTGTCTAAAAATGGGCACAGAAGAACTCAGAGTGCACTTGTAAGCTTCTATCTCTGGTCTGCAGTTTTCTGGGTTTCATTAGGTTTAAATTTGTGTTCTTTTTGTTGATTAAAGTTTTCTGTTTTCTGATCCGATTGCCATATATTGATCTGATAACGAATAGATATGCTTTTGCTTGATTTGGGTTTGTTCTCTTTCTGGATTTCTGCATTTATTTTGTGCTAAACTGAGAGCATTTGGACATGGTTTGACTAGTTTTCTGTCTAAAATCCTTATGGAAGAAGTCATGAAGTTGACCAATTCCACAAATAATGGTAGATTGGTAGTTCTTATAAGTGCAAAATTTTTTTTTCGAGTTGCGAGGAAAACCATAACCACTATCTGAGGGTCTGTAGGTAAACCCGTGTTGGTTGAGCGGCTCAAATCAAGAAGCCTAATAGGCCGCTCCAGATGGAGTTGTATTTGTAACCTTGTACATAAATTTGGATGGGGTGTCATAAAGATATCATCTTTGGGGTGCTTTAACTCTTTAACTACAATCTGTATTCTATTACTTGATGCAGGATGAGAGGGAAGTGTTGCCCCCTAAGCCCGAGGCGACAGTGGCTACTACTTTAGCCGGAGCGTCCTCTGCCACCGCTCATGGCATTGAAATCGCGCTTGGATTTAAGCCGGTTGAACACCCAACCGAGCCTCTTGAAACCGACAGCCCTATTCAATGTCCACTGCCCGAACCTTCGATACTTAATGTAAGTTTTTTGAAGCATGGTTTACTTCTACATGTTGAGCATATAACCATTAATGTGCAATTCACATCCAACTATCAGCTTAGGCTTTTAGTTGAGATGGAGCACATGCTTCAATTTGGTATCAGAGCCATGGGTTCGAATCTCAACTAGGAAACCTATGGTCTGCAGACCACTTGCCTTTCTGATGCTTCATGGTTTAAGCGTTTGTGTGTGCCCTTATCTGTTTTATTTGTTTGTATTTTGTGCCTGTATTCATGGGTGTCTACCCTTGGGATCGTTTGAGTTCAGAAACTATGTTCTTTAACGTAACTCATCTATTGGCATGCTAGCGTTTGAGTTTTGAACTTTCTGGACTTATTGATGGATTGAATGGTAATGTACCAAAGACTCGATTGCCATTTGCCATCACGGTTCCTTTCATTTGCCTCGAATCTAGACAGTTGCCTATGGTTTACTTTGAATGTTCTTTCCCAACTTAGGTATCTTATTGGTTGCCAAACACCTTGTGCTCAGATGACATGTAGTGACCTCTCCCATATGGGAGGTCATGAGATCGAGCCTCAGTGGAGGCGTTATTTCAATAGGTTGAGAAAGTATGTTTGAACAGATGGAGGCGTTGTTGACTCTTTGTGCTTCAATATGGGCGTTGTTGACTCTTTGTGCTTCAATAGGTTAAGAAAGTATGTTTGAACAGATACTACAATAGTACAATGTAATAGAGTCAGTAGCATTCAAAGAAAAAAAGGTATCTTATTGGTTTAAAGCAACATGTGCTTACTAATCCTTAGACGTTAAAATCTAGGTACTTTCAAATGCCGGATATGAAAATTAGGGCAAGCAATATAGAATTGATGCCAGAAAAATAGAGAATTTATCCGGTTAGTAAATGTACCCATACTTGTATAGTACTAAAGAAATCCATAACACTAGAAACCTTTTTGTCTTTTGGTAATTTATTTGATTTTTTCGCTATAGATGCTGCTATAGTGCTATGCCTTTGGCATCGTTTGGTGTCCTCGGGTTGCTACTTTTGAAGTGTACATATGTTGTGAATTGCAGGATGGAAGAATATGGAAAGAGCGGGTTTCTGCTGTGCGAAAAACAGCCGATTTGCCAGTTATGCAGCAAGGGGCAGCTGGAGAGCCAGAGGGAGCCGGCACAGCACGTAGACCCCCTTCCGGGCGCTTGATCCTTCCCTCGGTTAGTGCACCAGAACATAGTATCCTTAAACTGCTCGAAGAATCTGGGATTTAGCCGAACTCGCTGTTTTGTGCTGGAATTTCTTTCCCATACTTAGAACATATGCATGTTTTGTTATACTGCCTCAAGTCTGTTTCATTTGTTTTGGCTGTTTTGTATAGGTATGTTATTATAATATATGCATGTAATATCTTTAAATTTGCAATAAAGATTGTTTTGAATCAATTGAATGTATGCTCATTATGGTTGTGATGAATGTGTTGAATACAATTGCAGGAAAATTTTCCATACAACACATTTGTGAGTAATACTTGTCGAAATTCTTCCAAAAATGGAGTCTTCTTTCTTTTGTTAACTATTGATTAGTTCATGCGCTCACTAACTAGTGCCAACTTAAAAGTAATTTCAATAAAAAGTAGTATCTACTATCTAATACCATCACAATTATAATAAGTTTTAGGAAAGTGCAAACACAATTTAATGTCAACAATTTCTACAAAATATCACTTTTTTTGTTTTCGATAACAAGGAAAGAAAAAAAAAAAAAAAAAAAAGACATTTAAAATATTAATGAGCTTGTTGGCCGCAACTAGTGCACATAACGCGCACCAACAATTTTTTTTTTCTCACAGAGCTCACATAAAAAATCTTTTTTTTTTTTTTTTTGAGAAACAAAAAATCTTTATTTTTGTAAATTCATTTTGCACTTATGCTCTCTTCCCTCCCCTTACAATAAAAATAAAAAATTCCTAAAAATGTTCCTTTTTTTTTTCTTCTTCTAACTCTGTTACAATGTAAAACGATGCCAACGACTCAAAGCCTCAAACCCAAGACCTTCCATTTGAAAGAGTCACTTCATGTCAATATACCACAAGATCATTGGCAGAATCCTGTGTTCTTAAAATAAATAAATTAAAAACACAAGTATAAACTGACCAAATGTATAGGGTCATCTAAGGACTCGTCAGGCTGTTGTTGCTCAGCAAATCAAGATCATTGGGCTCTATCCAACCAAATTTGCCGAAGCAATGGGCGTCTAAATAACTCAAGACCCTCAATATCGACCATGTGCAAATTGAAACTGACGCGTTATTTGTAGTGGAAGGCCTCAAAATCAATGACTCTCGCACCTCGTTCGACTTGATCCTTAATGATATTACAGTTCTAGCTAATGACTGCAGTAGTATTAACTTTGTACGGAGTATTTGCTAAACGGTCTGCGAATAAAGTCGCCCACATTTTTTCGGGGGAAGCTTTACTCTTGTATGCCCGTAAGGAAGGGGGATAATCTCCACCTTCCTTTCTTATGATGTACTTCTTTCTGACTAGGGGTGTTCATTCGGTTCCTTAATATATGTGTCGTTTCAAAAAAAATATTGGGTCAAAGTGTAAAATTAAAAATAGTTGGAGGACTACTTGTAAAAACCATTATAAAACATTCACAAATCGACCCCTAAGTTCATCTCAAATGCAATAATTACACCTAAATTCATCGCCTGAAAGCACAAGAAACAAAATCTAAATCAGAGAGGGTTTTATATAGGATTTATATATATACACGCATCCTGCAGCTGCATCGGCTTCATCGTCGTCGTCTTTCTTCTTCTCCTTCATCGCTAGTCGGTCAGCCTGAGTCAGCCATGGCGGCTCTGCAATACCTGGACTCGCTTCGCAATGCCCACCCCGAGCTCTCCGATTGGTACAATACTCTCGCAGATCTGTACCAGCGGAAGCTCTGGCACCAGCTCACTCACAAGCTCGAGGAGTTCGTTTCTCTCTCTGTTTTTCAGGTCTCCACAGAACACATGATATTTTGCATATGTTAGAGTATAATTGCTCAATTTTATCAATGTTTATGATGGTTTCTGAGCTTGGTTAGGTGAAAGTCATGGCTATGAAAGTGTTATAAACTTTTTATTCGGTGCTTGAGTATCTAAGGTTAGGTTATGCCTGGAAATTAGGGGGTGTTTTAGGTGCGATAATTGCATGTGATTTGAGAAAACTTGAATCGACAGAGATGACTGAGGAATGTAGAGGGAAGCTTGTTAGTGCTAGACTTGGACTCTGGTGACTTACTTAAAGTTGTAATAGGCCTTCAATTTTTGTGTAAGAGCATTTGGAAATTCATTGGTGCCCTCTAGTAGGTATACAGAGATATAATGAAGTGAATTGGACAAATTTATTGTACTTCAGTACTTCCTATTTAGAGCATAGTGATTTTTAGCATTCATTCAATAATGGAAATAAGATGAAAATAATTAATTAAGGAATTTCCATACTTTGAAGATTAAATGGAGATCATGTAATTAGACTTCTCTTTTATTGGTATACAAGAAAAAGACTGGTTTAGTTCATTCTTATAATGTCCTGGATCAAACAATCTGTTGTCCTATAGGATACTCTGATGGTTCTAATAGTTGATATCACAATGTTAGCATGCCATAGTTTTGCTAACTTTAAGGTGAAGTATAAACATTGATGTTATTCATATTAACAATGAAGTTGTATGCATGCTATTACCCATGCTTTATTAATAGATAAACAAATAAAAAAAGTTAGATAATAATTGGAATCTTTTCTAAGAAACATATAAGATGATCCATCCAGATATCTAGCTTTCTTTGTTAGTTCATGTGTATTGCTGCTGCTGGAAGTTAGAGCTAATAGTGTTTGATTCTACTCAACCTAGCTATTCTACTATTTCCTGCTTTTTATAGTTCTTTGGAGGAGCAAATGAACAAGAAACATAAGAATCAGAAGTATATTTCAAGTGCAATTGATTATTCTTCTAAGTTTAACTCTTAGAGATGTTTCTGCACATATTGTGGGAAGTTAACCTTGCTCCATCATATTTTGAACAGCTGTTAAAGAGCTTCTTGTGTAGTTTTGTTTCATACAAGTCTACTTATGTTTCTATGTGTTTACATCAGTATCTAATACTTTCTTTTCTATGCTATTTTTTCTTTCAGGCTGGTGATGCACTGATTCAGTTGTATCATAATTTCATCACTGACTTTGAGACAAAGATCAATCTTCTCAAACTTGCTCATTTTGCTGTCATTGTTTCTCGGCAGTACTCAGAGAAAGAAGCTGCTATTAGTTACCTGGAAGGTGTGATCGAGAAACTTCGTAATACTAAAGAAATGCGCATAGAGGAACCAATCCTTTACATTAAGATGCAAATTGCATTACTTAAACTTGAACAAGGGGATCAAAAAGGGTGCAAGAATCTTTTGGAAGAGGGAAAGAGTACACTTGATAGCATGACCGATATTGATCCATCTGTGTATGCGAGCTATTATTGGGTTTCATCTCAGTATCACAAATTCAGACAAGAATTTGCTGAGTTCTATAAGAGTGCTCTCCTCTATCTTGCTTACACTTCAGTAGAGTCTCTATCTGAATCATTTAAGCTGGTAAGCAGTTGTCTCTATTGCCTCATTATGCCTCTTTTTTGTTGCCCCCCCTGAGGGGAGGGGGTAGACTCTGATTTTGTAATTTGATTTTTTCATGCCCTAATCATTTTTAGCATGTTGCATATTTTCGAACATTTGCTTTTTGGGGCTACACTTTTTAATGTCATGCACAGTCATCTTTCATTCATATAGTCAGAAAGTAAGAGTAATACCAGGATATTTTAAGTGAATCATTTATAAGTTGTAGTCTTCGTAGTTTAGTTAGTGCCTTAGTGGAAACTGTCAAATGCCATGGTTTTGGAGCTATGATGTTAAATTTAGGATCTATCCTTAGTCCCCAACACCTTGATTGAACCTACCTATAGCATTGCTCAATATTTTTGTTCAAATATAGAAGGGCAGTGATTATTTAATTGGTAAATTTCATACATACCCCTTGCTTAAATGGGAAATGAATAATCACAAATCTCTCTGGAGTGCCGTATGAACTAATCTTGGCAGCTAATTTCGAGTTTTTTTTTTTTTTTTTTTTTGAAAAGTTTTGGCTGGAATACAAGCTCTACTTTAAGTTCTCGTAAAGTTAAATTATCTGAATGCAAAATTTATCAGTGAGTTAACTGCTCAAATTCTTACTATTTTCTTTTACATTATTTAGGATTTGGCGTTTGATCTGTCACTGTCAGCATTGCTTGGAGAAAATATATACAACTTCGGAGAGTTGCTTGCACATCCAATTGTAAGTTTCATTTTGCATGCTCCGTTCTTTATTAGCATTTATCTTCACAAGCACCAAACACACTTTTACACTTTCAATGATCGGAGGGTTCTTCATGTCTTCTATTTTTCTTTGGAATGGCTAAGTGTGCTAAAGCATATATATATAACTGTGGGTACCTTGTACTCATATGCCTAGTGGATATATGAATTATACTGTCATGGTGCACTACTGAGGTTTAGCTAGAACAGGAACTTGTTTGTTGAGCTGATACCTTTGGCAACTCGGGATCAATTATAATAACTCTGATTGATCCATTATGTATAACCTTTTCGTTGTTGACTCCTAAAATTTCAAACAAAGCTTTACAATATTTATATTACATTAACAACTTTCCAGAATTCAAGCTCACAAGAAATTAGAAAAAGAAAAATAATTAAAATCATGTTATGTTCCTTTACAAAATTCGAACTCTAACAACTATACTTCCATTTTGGTCAAACCTTTTCTATTAACTCTGTCCCCATCAAGTTGTCTTACATGATTGAACTTGTGAAATGTATCTTTTGCTTATGAGGTAATGCAAAGTTGAACAAACATTTATTGTAATGTTTGTTACCACTGTGTGAGCCTGTCCTGTTTCTTGGCTGATGTTATGGTGTTTTACTAATCTTTTTAGAGTTTTGATGAACTTTTAAGTATTTTTCATGGACGGAAAGAATAATGTTTTAGAGGTGCCGTGAATTGGCTCGATTATTTAAATACACCCCAACTGAATTCTTGAAGTTTGTCACAGATCAAGAGTCTTACAGGGACAAAGGTTGAGTGGCTCTACCATATTCTTGAAGCATTCAACACAGGAGATTTGGTTCGCTATCAGTCATTGTGCAATGTCCATCAAGGTGCATTAAATGCTCAACCTGCACTGGTGCAAAATGAGAAAAAGCTTTTGGAAAAAATCAACATTCTCTGTTTGATGGAAATCATCTTCAGGTATAGTACTTTGTAACAGAGTTTCCCTTTTTCTATGAAGTTGGATGTGCTTAATGTTTATTGCCATTGTGCATTCTCATTTAACACTGCAATTATGTTCTCTTGCAGTCGTCCATCTGAGGATAGAACTATCCCATTGAGTATCATTGCAGAGCGGACAAAATTGACAGTTGAAGATGTGGAGTACCTCCTTATGAAGAGTCTTTCTGTAAGTGCATAGTTTACCATTCTATTACCTCACACATGCATGAAATGTGCTTTACTACAGAATACTATCAGCTTGAAATCTATAAGATTAAGCACATCCAAATTGAAGTGCATGATCTGCCATTCTATTTACCTCTTCAAATGCTATTTATTTAGTGCTGGGGAAATTTTCAGAATTTTAAACTGTAGGGTTGTGTTGTTATATTTGGCAAGTTGAATTGCAGTGCTGATGTATGCTAACTCTCCATTTTAGATTGGGTGAATTTACTAATGGAGTATTTAGGGGGAAAAAAGATTATCAAATTGGTTACTTTCCATTGACACAGATTCTGCAGCCAACCTGAGTTAGGGTTCGTCAAATGGACAATTCATATTCATGCATATCTCTCTATAACATTTTACTTACAACGACTCTCCACTGCATATCATTTAGACTTTCTCCTGTCTCCTTTTGGGAATAGGTGCAGGTGTTAAAGGTTTAAAGTCATCCATTCACCTCTAGAGTGTTATTCATTTTTAGTTATTTGTAATTCTATGCTGCAGGTGCATCTGATTGAGGGAATAATCGATCAAGTTGAGGGAACAGTTTATGTTTCTTGGGTGCAACCAAGAGTTCTGGGCATTCCCCAAATCAAGTCTTTGTGTGATCGGGTGGACAATTGGATGGATAAAGTACACAATGCTTTATTATCCGTGGAGGCTGAAACCCCTGACCTAGTCGCAGCATAATAGTTTTCCCGCGCCCTTTCTGCTACCTGTAGCACCTCTTAGTGCCCATATGAGCTGGCGTTCCAGCACCAAAACCAGACACTATTAAATTTCATGGAACAACATTGTACGAGCTCTAGATTACATGGCCGAATTATTGGTCTCAGTATTATTTTTGGAAATCAGCCATCCTTTCCTGTATTTTCTGCTTCTTTGGTTGCCTTTGCAATGCCGATTCTAGCTACATAACAAAGACTAAGTAAAGATGTGATCTACTCTTCTTCAATCGGTATTGTAAATGGCTGCAAACTTCTTGTGCATCCATTAAAATACTGTAAAACTACCTTGCTCAGCTGCCAACTTATTCCTTACTTTTATTCATGAATTCAACTATTTTAAAGGGTTTCTCAAATAGCCCCAAAAGTGATTCAATGTACCATTTTTTTTTTTTTTTCAAGTACTACTGATTTGCGATGTAGTATATGTTCATAACTGAGTCAATACTGCCTCCACTGAGATTTGAACTCATGACTTTTTATTTAGAAGAGTCATTTTATGTCACTAGACCGATATCATTGGTAGTGATATATTACTCAATTAATTGAGTGATTCTTTTACACTAATTTTATAATTAAGTAAATGTGCACTTTCAATCAAATATTAGAATTATTTATAATTATAATTTCATCTTTTATTTTATTATTTAAATATATATATATATATATATAATAAAATTTTTTATCAATACATGACACGGGTAATTGGCAATTATTTGCTCGAAATGAAGTATTGATAACATGAGAAAATATAATTGATCTCACCCATTTCTTCAATTACGGACTATATAATATTCATTTTTTTTAATTTATATAATTTGTATATCGATCTAAATATTCTTGAAATATTATTACAATTAATATATATATATATATATATATATATATATATATATATATATATATATATATATATATTTATTTATTTATTTATTTATTTAAGGCATGATACTATAATCGGGTTAAATAATCAGTTTCGCGCTAGGATTGACATCTCCGAATAAATTGGCGATATAAATAATTAAAAATCATATTATAATGCATGTTAGGACTAAATTTAACGATGAAATTTGATGAAAATTTCTGAGAACATTTTAATTATTTAAGGCAGAGCAAACTTATTACAATGTCATATAAAATTCTAGGTTAGTTTTAATGAGTTAAAACACTTAATTAGAGTTTTTTTTAGGGGGTATTGTTATTAAAATGTAGAAAATGAAAACAGTCAAACCGAGATGATAATACAAGGACAGTAGCAGGCGGACATGGCGCCTCCACGCCGAAATCGTACTTGATTTTTCTCAGGCAGGCTTGAAGACCAAAGCACGAAAATGGAAGCCTGGGCGTCGCTGCAGAAGGAGCTCTGTGTGCCCTATTTCAGGTAATAGTCAACATCGCGAATCGCAATTTCTGTAAAACTGCAAGTTTGAGTTTGTATTTGCATTTCTGATTAAAAAAAAAACAAACAAAAAACGTTGTTGGTTAATAGGGAGATTTGTTTGCAATTCACGTTGTTGTGTGTTGTGCTCAAATCCTACAATACCTCTCTTCTCCGGCTATCTGTTTCTTCTCACTTTCCCCTTGAAATTCTGAGCTTATTACAAGTTTCCACTCGTTAGAATGGATGAAAAACTTCCACTGTTCTTCATAATAATGGGCATTCATGGGTCTCAAACCAAACTTGTATGATGTTCTATCTCCATTTTCACTTTGTTTTCTTTCTATATTTTCAAGAATCTGCTAATTTTTTTAAAAACAAATTTGGTGAACAGCATCTCCCACCCTTTATCTCCAAGAAGCTTGTTGAACAGGAAGTTGAACAAGTAGTGTTAACCAGCCAAAAGGGGATCTGGGAAGTTGAAACCCATAGGTCTGGAGTAACACTCTGCTTCACAAAGGGGTGGGATGATTTTGTCCTGCAACATGGCCTACGCAATGGAGATTTTTTACTGTTTAAACACACTGGCTACTCGAGTTTTAAAGTCAGGGTGTTTGGTCTCACTTGCTGCGAGAGAGATTTCATAAGTAAATTGAATCTACTGTTGACAATCCTTTTTCTTGTTAATACTGTAGTAGTGAATTTGTAGCTTGGGATCTTGAAGCAAAAGATTAAGTTACCTGCCGCCTTTTGCAAAGCTAATGACCTTTATTGCGATGCAAGAATATGTCTGAAAGGTCCATGTAGTGAAGAAGAAGCTAGCCTTAAAGTTTGCCCAGGTGGGAGGACTAAATATGCTGTCATTACTAGGGGATGGTCTAAGTTCATTGCAGATAATGATCTGAAAGTAGGAGATATTTGCACCTTCAAACTCCGTAGCACAGGAAGCAGTTCAAATGGTGTTGTATTTGATGTTGAAGTTCTTCGCAAATCAACCTAGTTTCTCATTTGGAGGGATTCTTTCTAGTGTTCATCTATATACGAAGTTTAAACTCGAGATCTTTTTTTGTTGAAGTTTGGACAAGAAACTCTACTAGTAGGCCATTATGATGTGAGTTGGGAAATCTTACCCATTTAGTAGAAAAATGTGAGTCATAGTCAACTATTGAAATTGTTGATATAATGTTACATTGTTCAAATCATTGAATTTCTCTGCAACTTTTACCTAAAACCATAGGAACACATAATTAAATATGTAGGAAAGATTAAGGGTGTGTTTGGTGAGCAAATACCAATTTTAGTCTCACGAGTATTAGCAAAATGACAGATTTGGTCCACATGTTTAATTCCTACCAATTTTAATCCACGACTAATGTTTTAGTATCAAAATTCATCACGTCGATCACCCATCTATTTAAGACATTCCGAAATCTAAAAAATTTAAGGGCATTTTCGTCCTTTTCAACTTAAGATTTCAATTTGAGCATAAATAAATGAATTTAAGCTCTAAGATCAATCTCAATTCGCAGTTCTCCTCCTCATCCTACCTTAATTTGAGGAAGAAAACTGCGAATTTGGATATATCTTAAGACTTAAATCACTTTACTCATGCTTAAATAGGGAACCTAATTTGAAAAGCACGAAACTACCCTTAATAATTAAATATTTCGGACTGCCTTAAACGAAGGGGTGACCGGTGTGATAAATTTTGGCACTAAAACAATAGTTGTGGATGAAAATTGGTACTAAAACAATAGTCGTGGATAAAAATTGGTAGGTATTAAACATGTGGACCAAAACTGTCATTTTGCTAATACTCGTGGGACTAAAATTGGTATTTGCTCGTGTTTGGTTGGTGGGTTTTGCCCATAGGAATGGGTATGAAAGTGATTGTTGTCGTTTGATTGATAGGTTTTTAGAACACTACTATGGTTTTCGAATACCCCATCAATTGAAAAACTCATACCCAAATAAAATAAGGGTTTCATTCCCTTATTCATTCTGAAGCACTACTATTAGTAACCATTCGCATTCCACCCTACTACTAAACATGTTAAATACTTCCACCAAAACTCGTTATCATTACCAAGTATTTGATACCCATTCCGATTCTGATTCCTATGTGCGAACCAAACACATCCTAATTCTTGTTTTCTTCTTCTGATTGTTGAGTTTATTTTCTTTGAAACAACTTTAGGAATAAAGAAACTAAGGGTTGCTTGGTACACTCAAATCATATCCAAATTGCAACAAACATATCAAACACACACATGAAAGGAATAAAAAGATATGAATTGTGACCAAACTTTTGAATACCAACAGACTTTTAAAATGTTGTAAAAGTTTTAATGGAATATCCACCGAAAGTTTAGATCGAATACCACCATTTTCAAAGTTTTTAAAAGTCTAAACAAATCCAAATGGAAGTTTTTAAAAATCTAAACAAATCCAGATTATATATGTAGATCGAGGCTCAAGAAGAAGATAAATACTTCAACTTTTCTCGCACTCTTTACAAAGTTTTTGTTCCAATAAGATAGCTAGATGATGATGATGATGCATGGAGTCATGAGAAGTGCTGTGCTGCTAGGATGGCTTCTTCTTGTTCTTGAAGTGAGTGTGGGATATGATGCAGTTTCTCCATCTGTGATGAAAAAGATCAAAGCTGTAAATAAAAAGGGGCCATTCTAGGGTATAGTGGTGCCTAACAGCTTTGAGATGAACCCTCCCCTCCAATCTCCAAGATTTGCAGAAAGCAAAGAGGCAATAAACATCATTTTTCATGTTCAAAAATCTAAATATGGTCATCAATCAATCAAGAATACAAGTATAATGGCCTAATGGGAATCTATATCTTCCCCCAAGGCAGCATCAAAACGGCCCTAGGTTTGAACAAAATCAAAATTTCTCGGAGGAAAGAAAACGAATAAAAATTACATAAATCTAGACTTAGCAACACCAACAAGATCAGCATAAAGAAGGAAACTCAAATTTGTATGTGAACAACAAATCCGCAAGGCAAAGGCTTCATTACCAAAGCTACACTCATTTAGATATACGAATGCTCCGATGGCATGTTGGTATTTGACAATAAGCACAAACCATCCTAACTTCGACAGCATTGTGTACTTCTCTGTGAAGGTCTAGCAGGCTTCTTAGAATAGCAAGAATTCCACTCCCCTCCATCCTGAGCATAATAATCCATTGGGTAATCCACCACAGCCTCTTCCTTCGCTTTCAAGCCAGCATTATTGCACGAGCAGCAAGATTCGTTCTTTGAACTTTCTGAACCATTCTTGGAACTGCCACCGGAATTCACAGCTGATTTCCTCTCCCACCAGCCGGGTAGATCACCCAAAGCAATCTCTGCTTCAAAGGGTGTCAAAAGCGGTCTCCCAAATGCATCTCCCCAATCAATGGACAGCCGAGGGCAAGCGATTTGAATCCAAGCTTCCACCGAATCCTCAAACAATGCAATCCTGGCAGGAGATATCTCTGACATCATAATCACTGTCCAAGTCATCCCTTTCTCCTCCATCTTCTTCTCCAACCTATCCAAAATCCTTGGATTTCCTTGCCGCCCTAAAGTCCCCAACACTACTCCCCAGTTCTTGGCTTCCTTTGCCTTCTCAATTGCTCTTCTCCTCTCCTCCTTCATCCCATCATGATCATACTCCTCAAGAAACAACTTCCCTATGTATGGATCATACCTATATGTCCTTATCCCTGGATTAGCAATCATAAATGCTTCCAAATGAAACCTACCATCAGCAACGAAGATCAGAACTGCATTGTCTGGACTACAAATCTTACTAACACTTGGAGCAGTGCAGCCCAACACTTCTCCAGCTGATAGGGGTTTAGCTTGAGGTACCAAAACCCTAAACCCTAGCTTTTCCAGCTCGGGTTTCACAGCTCGAATTGCACCGGCAAACTGAATAGTCCCAGCCATAATGAAATTATCATACTGCTCAGGGGCAAAATTGACTTTTAACTCGTGGAGAAGCTTGCGTACATCAATGGCGATTTCAACGAAGATGTAGAGGCAGGGGATTGTGGTGGTGTCGATAGGCACCAGGCAGCTGTGGCCGTAGTGTATGAGGAGGTCAGCAGAGAGCGCCGCGGCGGAGAGGTCGTCGACGCAGCAGGCGCCGTAGGTGACGTCGCCGAGGACGAAACAGTGGGCGGCGGAAGTGAACGTGGAGAGGATATCGACGATGACGAGGGAGTACATGAGGAGGCCCTCCGGGAACTGCAGAGCGACGCGCTTTGCCCCCGTGGAGCGGATGCGCCAAACGCACTTGTGAATCTCGAAGTTGTAGTTGGCTGGGAGGAGGGAGATGGCGGCGTTGAGAGCCGCATCGTTTAGTATGGAGTCCGGGATTTGGTTCTTCACGAAACGCTTAGGACGCGGCCGTGCCGCCGGCGAAGGCTTGTCGCCGTCGCCGGCGACGACCGCCGTAGAAGTTGAGTTTTCACAGAGAGGTTCCATTACGCCAACTGAGTATGGAAGCGCAATTGGAACACAATTTAACAACTGGTCCCTCATCAAATTTTCTAACATTTTCAGTTTTACCCTCAATAACTCAAAATTAAAAATTACCCCAATATTATTATTTTTTTCTAATTGCAAGAAATCTCTAGGACCAGAGGCAAATTGCAAAACATTTATTAGTGACAAACCCTAATTTTTATTTTTTTGACAATAAAACTCACAATTACTATCCAAAAATATGCACTAACCACTAAATAAACTTATACTTCTAAACTTTCAACATCAATCAGTGCATATGATAGGAATTATTCCCTATTCGTCTACACATTGTATTTTGGTTATATCCGGGCCCACTCCTTCACGGGAGCCCGACCCGATCATCGTCGACCTAAGCTCGCACCGAGCGCAGTATCAAGTGCCTGGATTTAAGAGCAGTAACCGTCATTTCACCCCGACCTAGTTAGGTCAGGACCGGCCTACCGACCTGATTCTCATGGCTGAGTACGGGACAACGCGCCTAATTATGACACATATTAATTGTGAAGAGGGGAGACTTTTAGACCTTTTCTACACGTTAACTATTAATTCGGGAACTTCTAACCTACTGTCAAGTACTCAGAGCTCCACAACTTAAACCAACAAGCAAACTAGGTAAAGGCGTAATCGGAACGGACCCTAGCACCGTATTACGTAGTATACGCCCGTATATACTACATACATCAGCACCATCCTGATCACCACAAATGCACAATAATACAGGCCTTAAAAGCATAAAGTACAACATCATTTTATTTCATTTTTCAATACTTTTCCTGTTCAGTATCACTAAGGGTCCGTTTGGAAAGCAGGAAAATGACTTCTGGAAAATGTTTTCTGGAAAATGAGTCATTTTCCGGAAAACATTTTCCTTTCCAGTGTTTGGTTGCATTCTGGAAAACTGTTTTTGTGTGTTTGGTTCATTTTCTAGAAAATGAGTAGAATTGTATAATTAAACATTTTAATTATTTTATTTAGAATATTACAACATTTATAATAATATATAATAATATAATAATAATTTTTAAATATAATAAAAAAATAACTAATAATATATCAAAAATATTATGGTGGTGGTGGTGGTGTAGTGGTAGTGGCGTTATTTGTTATATAATAATAATAATAATAACGGGTGGTGGTATGATGGTGGTGGTGGTGGTGGTGGCGGCGACGGTGGTTGTGGTGGTATGATGGTGGTGGTGGCGGCGGTGGTATGGTTGTGGTGGTGGTGGCGGTGGTATGGTGGTGGTGGTGGCGGCGACGGTGGTATGGTGGTAGTGGCGGCAGCGGTGGTATGGTGGTGGTGGTGGCGGTAGCGGTGGTATGGTGGTGGTGGTGGCGGCGACGGTGGTTGCGGTGGTATGGTGGTGGTGGCGGCGGCGGCGGTGGTGTAGTGGTGGTGGTGGCGGCGACGGTGGTTGTAGTGGTATGACAGTGGTGGCGGCGGCTGCGGTGGTGGTAGTGGTGGTGGTGGGGGCGACGGTGGTTGCAGTGGTATGATGGTGGTGGTGGCGGCGGCGGCGGTGGTGTGATGGTGGTGGTGTGGTGGCGGTGGTATGGTGATGGTGGTGGCGGCGACGATGGTTGCGGTGGTATGGTGGTAGCAGCGGTGGTGGTGGTGGTATGGTGTTGATGGTGTTGGTGGTGGTAGTGGTGGTGGTGTGATGGTGGTGGTGTGGTGGCGGTGGTTGCGGTGGTATAGTGGTGGCGGCGGCGGCAGTAGTGGTGGTGATGGTGGTAGTGAGGTGGTGGTGGTATGGTGTTGATGATGTTGGTGGTGGTGTGATGTTGGTGTAAAAGTTGGAAAATGACTTCCCCCAAAAAAAGGGGAAGTCATTTTCCTCCAAAACAAGCCTATTTTCCAAAGTCAACGGAAAATGATTTCCGTTGACTTGATTTTCCAGGCACATCCAAACAGTGAAAACTTAGAAAATGATTTCCAGAACTCATTTTCCAGGTTTCCAAACACACCCTAACTTGGAAAATTTCTACCCCTCAGCTGTCTCAGGTGGTTCAAACAAGCAACACAAAATATACAAACTGTAACAATACTTTATCCCAAGAAATGCAGATTGTTTGCACTATTATTGTTGCATAATAACTGGAGATGAGCTAACATCTGTTGTGCTGTAGAATGAATCCTCAGCTGCACCATAATAATTCTCTCCCTTCTCCCCATCCCACTTCACAACCTCCCTGATGAACTTGAACGCCTCGTCGACCGTCACTCTATCTCGGGCCCGAGATTGCCACACGAAAAGCTTCCGGCCCGTGAGGGAAGCGTAGACGTCTTTGAACTTCTTCGCGACGTAGTAGTAGCCTTGGTGAGCGAGCGACTGGTTGCTGTGGTGTGTGGGCACGGGGCTGAAATCGGCGAACCACTCGCACGCACCTAAAGGGACTCTATTCACCTTTGCCTCGAAGACGTCGTACTTGTTGAGAATTAGAACGAAAGGGGTGTCTTTGAAACACGGGTGCTGTATCATCGCCTCGAATAGGTCTTTGCTCCTCATCATCTTGTTCTGGAGAAGCACCCCGCTCCCGTTGTTCTCCGGGGCGACCGACATCTGGTCATAATCGCTCAGAGCAACACAGACTATTACTGCGCTCACATCTTCAAACATCTCTAACCACTTGCATCCCTCGTTCATTCCGTTGGCGTTTACCCTTATTAGTTGGTACCTGCTAGGAAGAGATTCATTTACATTACAGGCATGGTTGTAGTAGGCGCTAAGCACTAGTCGGGCACTAGATCAGAGGAGCGCCTAGCGCCTAGACGGCCTAGGCGGGCGCCTATGTGGCTAACTAAATAAAAAATAAACAGTGCACATGTGTGAGTGTATATATGTGATACTATATATATATATATATATAAAATAAATTAGCAAGGCCAAGCCAACCGGGTTAACTTGACTGAAATGGACGAGTTAACTCGGCCGAATTAGGCGCTAGGCGGCTGCTTAGGGGTTCGAGTCGGCCGAGTTAGGCGCTAGGCGGCCGATCGCCTAGGCAGGCACCTAGGGGGGAAATCGCCACGGTCTAGGAGTGTCTAGGCAGGCGCCTAGACCGATTTTTGCAACAGTGATTACAGGTAGGGGTGTTTATTCGGTTAATAACCAAACCTAATTAACCGAATTTGCAAAACGCTTTAATCGTTAACCGAACGGAAATTCCTATTTCCGAATAAACCGAACCAAATTGTCTGTATAGGAGGTGGAGGACTGAATAAAGCAGTGAGAAAACGTTACCTCATAAGAGGAGGTGGAGGCGCTTCGAGATTGTCTGTATAGGTTTCAGACATTGGGCTACGATCATCCAACGAGAACTCCATAAAGGCTAAACCTTTCCCTTTGGTAACCCCTTCAGCATACAGTATGTCTTGCTCCGAAGGTTCATATTCATTACTCGATACCTCAACAGCCTACATGGAGGGAGAAGAAAAGCTTAGTGTAAAATTGATATTGTTATAAACTAAGATTGGGCTAGAGTCACTCAATTGGGCTATAATGCACATGGGCCAAACCACACTAAAAAGATTGAATCCAACCAATTAGCTAGTCTAACTCATGACCTTAGAAACCCATATGTTCTCTCTTATTTTATCAACGTGGGACTCTTAACAGATATTAATTAGACTCTACGAGCAAAGCACACCTTGTTTAAGAAGTAATCAGCTGCATCAGGTAGGAAATGAAGTTCATCTTTCCTCTTGTATGCTTCCTGTATAGCGGGATCCTTCCACACCTCTTCAACAAGGGGAGCATACTCACGAGTTGCTGCCGGGAAAAACGCGTCTAAATCTCCGGTGGCGATGATATCTAAGAGCCAGTCGGAGAAATGTTTCAGCCTCGGGTTCAAGGAGTAGACACAATGGTTATTTCGACTCGCATCCTCTTCACTGCCTATATAAAACTGAAATTTAATTATCAGCCCACCAAGAGTTCAAGATCAATGTAAGCATAAATGAAGCTCAGAGCTGAAAAAAAGTAAATATGCAGCAATGCAGATTTCATAGAACTTTTAAATTAATAACAAGACTAGAGATTTATTCAAAAGAACCTTCCGCTTTTAGTTTTGATAAGGCTTCCTCCTCAAATCGCTCCCGGCCATCGAGGAGAACGCTCAGATACTTGTACATGTTGCTTTGAATCATAAGCTTAATATCTTGCACTTCTTCAGCTGTAAACTTGTTCCCGTACAAAAATTTGGCCTGTTCAATAAGTTATTACGAAAAAATATGTGATTTTTTAATTAAGTAGAAAATTTTAAGCTTTGAGGAATCCCGAAGGACCTGAAACAAACCATTTATTTCATATTCTGGTTCATCCGAACCAGAAAGGCCAGTGAGGAATGCAATAACATAACAAATATTTCGAACATAAAGTAGATATTGTAAATGAAAGATATCTTCTAAGCACTATATATTATGCCCGTCAATTAAACTTTTAGACTAGAAGTGGAAGATAACATATCATTTATTAATTATTATATACATAAACATGCATATATAAACCATAATATAAACTGATTCAAAGACTATTTAATATCCTAAATACAACTAGTAAAAACGGAGAATTCAAGATAGCATTACCTGTTTGAAAATAGTGCTCGTTCCAGAGCCATCCAGTCCAAATAAGAGTAGCTTCTGAACTCTTTTCTGCTCCAGATAAGGAACATTCATCGTATAATTGCTTGGCTCGTTCCTCTGACAATGGGGTTGACCATTAAGTATTGGCAAGGAGAACAAGGAGCAGATGATCCGTGTTCTTGTCTGTGTAATGAAATAAGTTTATGTTTTGTGTGTTATAAAAGGCAATCGTAAAAAGTGAAAACTGAAACCAATTTTACATACCTTTTCCCAGATATTTCCTTTGATATTATTTTGTCCTTCTTCCTCGTATCGACCATCATCATATACCCAAAAGTGAGTGTCACGAAGACATTGTACATTTGCAAACTGTCACAAAATGAATAGTACTCGTGATTATTAGGCAAAACCAAAGGTCTACGACAATTAATACGAGTTTGTGATAGGCAAAACCAGACAATTACTACGACTCACCTTCAATACTTTGAGTTCAAGTTTTGTTATTTCTCGTCCATTAATATAAACCCGAGTGTTTCCATTGCTTGCATGAGGACTAAGCTTCCCGGTGAAATTTAGATTTGAACTCACGATTCTGTCGGGTTTCCCTCCCTCCTGATAAATGGATAAGGTAAAACTGTATCAGTATTTCTCAATGTTGAAAAAATCGCTAGGCGCCTGGGGACCGCCTAGGGCGCCTAGAGCGCCTAGGAGGCCGACCGCCTAGCGTCTAGGCGCGATTTTTGCAACACTGGTATTTCTTTCTCCCGAGGCCAAATAAAAGAAAGCTTTTTTTTTTTTTAATCTTAAACTACAAGCTAAGGATGAAGTTACCTTTCCCCAAAGCCCAGATTCTTTGTCGTACCAATACCTACCGGGCTTTAGCTTTTGAGGAGGTATAGGACACGCAAATAGTTCGGCCATCTCTTCTGGCTTCAGAGGGTATCCATTTACGATAAGCTGCTCTGGGCGAAGCTGGTTAGCAGAACACTCTTTCTCGGCTTTCATTATCTGCTTAGCTTCTAAAGGGCAAAGCAACCGTGACAATACCCTCGAATGCCTACCCAATTTGAACCGCTTCGACTCATCGATGGGCATACTAATGCAAGTTACACATTTTCGCCCCTCCGGCATTGAACCCATTGCTCGGAGCACACAATTGCTGCAATATTTTGCATCACAAACCAAGCACGATTCCTTGGTTTCCCACTTTCCTTTTCCACACCTATAACACACTCTCGTTTTCTTTTTCTTATTTTCCCTGGAAACGCCAACATAAGCAGCGGGAAATGCTTGTTTCTCCGAGTATTCTGCTTTCTTCTCGGATCTATCAACTGTATCGAAAGTTACCACCGGGGCTCTCCTTCCGGGGTTGACCAACTGTTTGGGAGCATCGTTTGCAGGATTATGAATAGAACCGGGGGATATTGAGGGAGAACCTAACAAAGATTCGAGGTTCAACGCAACAGACACCTGTGATTCTGTACTCCCCGATAGCCTTGGACTAGTGATGCCTGCAACTCGAGAGGCAATCGAAGGTATTGGCTCGATAACTGGGACACCTTCGTGGCTCGTTGATCTTCTAGATTCAGAAGAGGGCCGTGCTAGAGATGCTGTTGGAATCGCACTAGAATTTACGTCAATGGGCTCTACACACGGAACCTCATACGAGACTGGGGGACCATTATACTCGAGAGCTATTGAGTAATCGAGATTAGTCTCCCCTTCGGGAAGGGGAGCCCCCGGTGGAAGCATCTTCCTCACTATATCCCTCCAATCCTCATCCTTATTTTGCTCCATTGTTTCTCACCCGAAAACTTGATCAACCTTTGCTCACACTACCCTTAGTTTCACAATCAATCACTTCTAAACGCTATTGCTCTCCACATTCATCATACGAAAAGAAATCAACCACTATCAAACACCCAAATCGCGTGCTTGAAAATCAAAGCTGCCAAGTCTACTAGTCAAGCTAGAATCAACCCCGAGTACCACCACACCAGATCCTCCCAGATGATCTGTCGAGCCGGGGCGTGGGGCCCTTGAGGTTGGGGATTCATCCTTTTGGGAACAACAACAATGTCCATGAATTCAAGTCATACTGATCAGCCTACTGAACCAAGAAAAGTTACCTCCACCAAAGTCAAAACCCAAAGGTTTCAAATACTAATGAACCAATAACTCTTGAAATTCCACAAAATTCAATAGTCCAAGATACCACCATTTTCAACTTCAACTAAACAAACACAAAAAAGACTCATCCACCAACTACAAAAGGACAAACAAAAACATTTCAATAACATCCAAGAAACAATACTTGACTACAAATGGGAATCAACACCTCTGAAATTCAAAACTAAACCAAGAAAATCCCAACCCTAACAAGCTAGAGACAGTTCAACCTTCAACTACCATATCCACATCAAGCGTAAGAATAAGATAATCTAAAGAAATGGGTATGCAATTTCAAAAAGAGTTTTCAATAACAGTAAAAGTGGGAACTTTTGCATCTTGGTAGATGGTACAAAAAAGGTATGAGTTGAAATTTTTTACCTGATAAAATGACAAGGAGTATCCGAAGCTGAGGTGAGCTGGTGGGTGCTAGTAAAAGTCTGGTGTTTTGAGGAATCTACCTGAAGAACCAATCCTGCTAAAAGGTAGACACAGAGATATACTATGAATATATATTATATGTGAAGAAAAAAAAAAAAAAAAAAAAAAAGTGACAATTTTGTCAAATGCATTGAAGTGAGAGAGAAGAGGGAGTGTGGCCCATCCGTTAATGGAAATGCACGGTTGTAAGCTATTTTGACCGTACTTTATAAAGATTGACGAAGGAGACTAGGAGAGTTTAATATTTAAATTCATTTTAATTCTTTTATTTTAAATTAATATTCATACCAACTATCATAGTGTCATGACATCCAAATGTTCACTAACTATAAAATTTTTCTTTTTTTAGATAAATTGAAATTGTATTTCTATGAATTGGCCAACTCCACTAATTTGTAAAGTTGTAATGAAATACTAATGTAATCAAATAGTGACATGTCAAAAGAAAATGTTGAAATGGTGAGTAGCAACACAAAGTATAATATTATTATGTTATTTATTTGCGTGATGAGAGAAACTCATAGCTACTATTTGATAGTGTACACTGCGTCAATCTTGAATTGTGATCTTAGCCGACAAAAAAGTCACAACAAAGATAAAATAATCTTGATTGCTCATAATTAATCAACTCAAATCAATAAGAGTAATAGGCCGACTCTATTATTGTGATTAGGTCATCAACTAAAATATGTCACTTCTTGTTGACTATAAATTACAATTGACAACATAAAATGAAAGTAAATAGAGATCAAGAAAGTTGGTGCAATTTTGTTGAGGTTAGAGTGATATGACTTCAAGATGTATTATTCCATTTGATTTGGTAAATTTAAATCTTTAAATTTAACTTTCTATAATAACGTTTTATTGATTATTTTAATTTTAGCAAGTCAATTATGATAACTTAAGTTGATTTACTGTATTGTAATCATGTCTAAATCAAAAGAGTGGCTAATAAAGTTTCAAACACTATACATAATGAACCAGTTTGATTGGCGTTAGTGGCCGTGCATTCTCATCCTTTAAGAGAGGTTGAGAGTTCGAATCTCCTATCGTATGAAAAATCAATCTAAGCGACTATAGCTAAATTCACAAATTGGTTATGGACTTTCAATTTCAACCAATTAAGTCCTTAACTTTGTAATTTTGACACGATTTGGTCCTCCATCTATTTGACTGTTTGTTGACCGTGATCGACGATCTTCAGAAGAACCTTCAGCTCTCGTCGGAGCACGTGGAGGCCTCCAGAATGACGTTGCACTGGTTCGGAAACACGTTGTCTTCTTTGCTATGGTACGAACTCAACTACATTGAATCCAAAGTGAGGACGAAGAAAGGCGATCGGATTTGGTAGATTACTTTCGGCAATGGATTCAAATATAACAGTGCGGTCTGGAAATGCAACTAGAACCTTAAAAAACTGACGATAGACCATGAAATTACATATATATCCTCAAAAATCACAGTCAACAAACGATCAAATAGACAGAGGACCAAATTGTGTTAGAATTGCAAAGCTAAAAACTTAATTGGTTGAATTGAAAGTCGAATATCAATTTGTGAATTTAGCTATAGTCGAAGGACATTTTGAGTATTTACTAAAAAAAACTAAAAAAACTATACACAATGTGGGCTAGGGGGACCCTAGATATTTGTTTTTGTTAATATAAACTTATAGTCAAAGTGGTGCACAAGCAATTTTTTGACTGCCTAGTTTAGACAACATACAACCTTTTCATTGTACCACCCAATGTTTCATGTTTGGAGGAGAGACATGTGGAGGACCACCTTATTGATGTCAAGTGATGGGGGGTGGGGGGACCTTAACACATTTTAGAGAATCATTTATAGAGTTCCAACTTCCAACAACACAACAAATAAAAAATGGGTTGTATAGCTGGATTGTTTGACTGATTATTATAGAATCAATTAATTAATGAGTAATTTGTATTTTATACTTGAATAAAAAATGTTAAAGCACAAACGAATATCAATAAAAATTTTTATTACGACTCTGTTTAGGCGGGTAATAACGGTGAAATTGGAGCGATTAGACTGCTCCAATCATATCGTTACCAATATATCTTTACCTATGAAGTTAAAAAAAATTACAATTATAATTTATCTAAATAAACTTTTAAAGAGCAATTAAAGCGATGAATTGCCTCAACTACTCAAATTATTATCCCAAACACATCCTAAGTCTAACAAATTATTTTGTGAACATGATCTAAAGTACACAATTTACATACTGAGTGTTCATAATTTACAGACTAAATGTTTATCATTCAAATTATGAACATTCAATATATAAATTATATATTTTGGACCGGGGTCCAGGGTATACAATCGTTATGCTATGGACCATGCTCATTTTCTTTCTTTCTTTTTTTTTTTTTTTTTTTTTTTTTTTTTTAATTTTCAAACCGCTTCGTTATAGGAGTATATGTTCATAATTTTATTACTATATGTTCATAATTGTAAGTTCATAACGTCAGAGCTCTATATTCATAATTTCATAACTGTACATTCATAATTCCGCAACTGTACATTCATAATTCAATAACTGTAACTTCATAATTTTCGAAGCTCTATGTTCACAATTTTAGAGCTCTATGTTCATAATTTTATCACTATATGTTCATATTGTAAGTTCACAATGTCAGATCTCTGTGTTCATAATTTCATAACTGTACATTCATAATTGCATAATTGTACATTCATAATTGCATAACTGTACATTCGTAATTCCGTAACTGTACATTCATAACTCAATAACTGTAAAATCATAATTTTCAAAGCTCGATGTTCACAATTTTAGAACTCTATGTTTATAATTTTATCACTATATGTTCATAATGTCATAACTCTGTCTTCATAATTTTATAATTTACATTCATAATTTCATAACTGTACATTCATAATGTTAACGGCGAGACAAAATCATTTTCTTTTTTTTTTTTAACTGAAATGACGTGTTTTTTCTGAAAACGACATGCATTGTGGACACGAGTCCACTGCATAATTTGCGCAGGGTATAACTGCTGCCTAAGTCCATGTTGGGCTGCAAAATATTTTGGTCCATTTGTACTGGGCATCTGAAATGCCAAGTTTTGGGGTTACCAAAGCCCAGCCCATTATAAGCTTAACAATGGCAAGCCGGGTCAGAAAATCAATCTCCTTCTCCGATTTCACTCTAGCCAAAATTGCCATCACTCTATCGACGGTGCTGAGCTCAAATCGCCTGTGTATCAAGGTATTTCTCCCCCAATCTATACATACGTAAATCTCATATCTTTTTCCTTTGCATGTTAGATTTAGCTGGAGAAGTACTAATTTTGAACAAATGGGTACTGATTTGATATAATTGAACGTTTATTTGGGGAATTTCTTGGCTGTTTATGTTCAATTAATCAGATTTTGAGTGGCTCTTATTATTTATTATTTATAATTTTTATATATATGAAGTGTTCTACAGCTTCATATCAAAGAGGTAATTAGCTTTGTGATGGTATTTCCTTATGGATGATTGTTTCTTAGCTTTGTGAATTACTGATTCTTGAACTATTTTTGTTGGTATTTTTGCTGTTATTGGTTAGCTTGGGCAATGCCTCAATGGACACTAGTAGAACTGTAGAAGTAGTACTTTTAATATTTTGCATATTTCCATACCATGTTAGTGTTTATTAGTGATGTTTTATGTAGTAAATTGTTTTATCCATTGTTTACTTATGGCAAGTTTTGAATTTTTTTAAATAAATATCATTATTGCTTAATTTTAGTTCCCAAGATTGATTCTTGAATCTGTGGTACGGTGGAGCTAGAAAGAAGATGCAAAAACTGGGTGATTTCAAGCTCCCTCAGTTCTTCAACTATCCTCCATACTTCACGTAATCCAATCAATCCCTTTAGATCTTTCTTGTCTTCATTGTGAAAGCATATACATTCTTGATTTTTTTTCTTTAGTTTTTGTAACTTTACTTTAAAAAAAAAATCAAATTATAAGAAATTTTCGAGGACCTCTGCATCATTATTCTTTAAGCTCTTGTTTTCTGTTTTGTATTGAAAAGATTCTTTCTTGAAAGTGCCATTTACTTGCATTACTTCAGTTTGAACTTAAATTTTGTCTTTCTTCTTAGTTTACAGCCTGTGAGGGACACACGGGAGAAACAGATACAGTTATGGAAGGAGTTGATAATTGATTATTGTAAGACACAAAAAATCTTCGTGATTGGACTTGAAGAGGACTTTCCATTGTTCAGTAATCCTGCAATTGAAAGTGAGATTTTTTCCGTCCTTTTCATATTTCCAAATTTTGCTGAGGAAATGAGAAGAATTGCATGCTGATTTGAGATTGGATCTCAAGGCATGTGTGAAGGCTGTCTTAAAAGTTTTGCAGACCTTATATGAATATACCTTTGGTTGTGTGGTGTACTATGCTTTTGCTGGGTCTTCCTTTATTGAATACATTTGTAGCTGTTTCCTTTTATGTATAATATTTTCTAAAAAGTATACCATCTGAAGTTTCATGGTGTTTTTCACTAACTTGGCGAGGCTCTTAAGAGAAGCCTTCAAGTCAAGATTAGTAGACAAGCTAAAAGTATCGCCTAGGTAATATACAATCAAACCGATGCTAGGAAAAACTTGTGCCTCCACAGAATCATCATGTGCTGTGTAAACTTGGCGTATCCATTGTGTTTTTGTATTAGCGGTTTTCTCTGCGAGTGCATGCCTTGTATGGATGAGTCACACGTGGTGTCATCGTGCAGGATCTCTTAGCCATGAAGCAAGGGAAGCATTTCTATCGGCTTTGGTTTCTGATGGTAAGCATTTTAATCAAGTCTTGGCATTTGATATTTATACTATTAGATGATTTGTTTGAATGTTGAAGTGGTTATTAATTTCTTTAATATTCTAACGGATCTCTTACCAAAAGAAAACGCTTACCTTCATAACAAGTATTGTTTAAATGTCATGTTTACTTTAACAGGCCGTGCAGAATGGATAGATAAAGGTCATAGGAAATGCTTAATTCTTTGGCATAGAATCCAAGATTGGGCCGACTTAATATTGCAGTTTGTAAGTAGTCACGTAATTCTTCTGTCACCATGTACTGTATGAGGTCATGCACTCTTTTATGATATTTGATGCAATTCTTCAGGTCAGGGAAAATGGTTTGGAGGACAGTGTAATGACAGTTGAAGAAATACGTTCTGGGACGGAGTCCAGGGGAACAGGTAACCTCCAGTTATTGCGAATCTACCATTTCCTACTTGTTTGTCGTAACGAGGATTTGTTATAGTTTCTGTCATACGCCTTCTCAATCGTCTGTATTTATCTTTTGCGTGTATGGCCAGAGCTTCACGGGATGGATCGTACAATTCTTATGCGAGGATTGAAGCTACTAGAAAACAAGGGGAAACTTGCATTATTCAAGGGAACTTCTGCTGATGATGAGGGTGTCAAGTTTTCATTATGATTTATGACAAACCTCTCAGGGCATGTTCACATGAATACTTCCATTTGTATTGAACCATCTTGTATTCAATCACAAATTCAGCTTGAAGCTGAGATCAGGTTGTTATGTAAATCCCACATTTTGGAATACTGGTAAAGATTAAGAAAATGTTTAATGACACAATTTGGCACTTTTGCTGACATGCCTTTATATTTTGTAGTATATAGTTAATTCCAAGCTTAGTTCTCAACTTTGATAGTTTTATTGAATTTAGTCTCTTACAATCACATATTCTTTTGATCAAAGTTCAATGGAAGGAAGGAAGACTTTTCTGCATCAAGAACCTGCATAACTGGAGACAGCAATAAAATCTCTTCACCAGTTCCCTTACTAAAAGAATTCAACTTTTAAATCTATATTATATTGCCTGAAATGACTAATTAATAAACCAATGGGCACTCACAATTTCAATGCAAGTAACTTATATCAAGTACAAGGGTGGAAGCTATTTACTCTGATCAATAGTGAGCATCTTAGAAGGAACTGAAGCTGGATCCAGTTCCCAACATTCTTTAGAAATGCCAACTGCCTCTTCCCCAGAAAGTTTCTTGGCAGGAATTTGGTGGGACATCAGTGTAATTTCATCCTTCCCGAGCCATCTAATGGCGTGAGCCCCGATCTCTCTTCTCTTGAAAACTGTCCTAAAACCATCAACCTTCTCAAGGTATGCCACACTCAGGCCGTGTATTTCAGTATAACTGGTTAAACATACAACAATACCGTACTGCTTGCCCTCAACATCTTGATCGGCGTTTGGGTTATTTTCCTCGTAGATTGCCCAAACTGAACCCTTTTTAGGGTAAACCCTGTACAATGCTCTAGCTGCTCTTTCACAATCCATGACATGAGAGAACTTTTTCAGGGATTTCACCAAAGCTTGCTCAGAAACCTTATATTTGCCACAGGATATGTGAAACCCCCTTTTTCCCCAATTAATCAATGCCTCATCATCATTATTTTGTAAGTCCAACCAAAACAATCGCACCTCAAAAGGATTCACAGACAACACTTCATCAATCAAAGCATAATACCTTGGCATTCCATCATCTATATCGTCATTATAAACAGCCCACACTTGTCCTTTCTTGAAACTCCTCTCCTCTCTATCATTACCAAATTCGTAAAAGTCTGAACCTTCCACTGACATTATCTCTGAATCAACTATTATAGACACTTTGCGCCTCTTGGCACCCAGATCTCCACCCTTTGTAGCTCTTCTTTGCACCGCTTCCAAGCTCTCCCCTTTTGACACCTTACGTCTCTCCCTCTTTCCTTTCACATTCATGGTCTCCATAGCTTCCTCTATTTCACTTTCTGTTTCACTCAAACACAACTCTGTATCCTCCTTTTCGCTTTCCAGCTCCTTCTCCCCTAAGTTTGGCTTCGTCACCATCTCATTCACCTTTGCTCTCAATTTCTCCTTATTCAACTTCTTCACTATCATTTGCATCTCTGCTAATGTCATTGTTTCTTCTTCACTGACCTCCAATCGCTTTGCCCTCGACCTCTGCACCACATTATTACCACTCTTCTCCTGATCCTCACCTCTACCTCTCACCTGAACTCCTCTCCTTGACCTCACTCCTTCAATCTCACCACCACTGTCATTCCTTGCATCTTCTTCCCCACCAACATTTCTTGATTTATCCACTCTATTCGATGATCCACTCTCAGCTTCATCCACATCTTTCAATCCTCTCCATTTTTCCCTTTGTAAAACCTCCCCAACACTAGTCATTTTCCTAGCCTTAATCCTAGCACTAACTCTAGTCCCCAAAACTTGATTATTTTTCTCACCCTCACTATCAATGTCCCTAAAAGGAACAGAATTTTCAGCATTTTCTGATACTTCAGTAGCATGGAAGCTCTTCTTACAGTTAGGGCACATTAAGTTATGCCCTAGATACTGTCTGCTAAACTTATGCAACAGCCTACAAGTCGAACAAGCCGTCCAGAACGTCTCCTCCGCCGCCGATTCCTCCGCTGCCGAAGACTGCATAGCGACTCTGAGCTTCAAATCATACTCCTTTCGCCTAATCTTATCCGACAGAACCCTATACGCTTCCCCGACGAGCTTGAATGCCTCCTCACAGGCCACGAATGGTTTCTTGTCCGGGTGGAGGGTCAAAGCAAGCTTCTTATACTGCTTCTTGATGCCATTGATGTTGGAAAACCGCTCGACCTGGAAAATTTTGTAGTAATCCGGCGGACCTGCAGCACCATCAGTCGTTGTGGCGGGCTTGGTGGCGGTGCGGAGGATTTTGAAGGCCGTGAGCATCTCGGATAGGCCGTCTAGGTTGGGGCACTGACGGTGAGCTTGCTTGGCGTGCTTTATGGCTGACTTCAGGTCGCCGGAAACGTACTTCTCCTCCGCTAGGGTTTTGAGGCGGAGCACGTCCGTTCCTCCCGGGGAATCTCCATTTTCTGACATTTTTCTCTCCGGTTTGAGTGATCGGCTCGACGGCTACCGGAAACTGAAAAAATTGGGCAAATTTATAGGGAGTACATTATTTATTTATTTAGAGTTTTAAATTTTCGTGACAATAATAATAATAATAATAATTCGTGACCAATTTTTTTGGTAAAAATGTCATAGAAAATGATAATTTTGTAATTAAAAATAATAATTTCAGGTCTAAACAAAATAATACTCCGTAATAATTTTGCAACACGTGAGCACATGATTTTGGGGTGATAATTAGACTGTACATTTATATTTTAGAGTTAATACTCAAAATGATCCCTCGATTATGTCATAATTATCAATTTGGTCCTCAACTACCATTCTTACCCAATTAAGTCCTCAACTATGTAACTTTTACTCAATTAAGTGTTCAACTATACGATTCTTACCCAATTTAGTCCTCAACTATACAATTCTTACTCAATTTAGTCCTCTGTATTAATTTGACTGTTTGTTGACTGTCAAAAGTCGGGATAAAATTATAATTTTACAAGATTTCTCCTTCCTCTCCATTTAGCAACGCCAAACCATGCAGCAATACACTCCGATCAGATTTCGATCGTCAAAAAATCGTTGAAAATCAAATTCATGGGTTATCCGATGCATAACCACTACTTCGATACTGACAAGTTTAGAACCCAACCGGAGCTTATTGCTACATGGTTTGGCGCTGCTAAATGAGGAGTAAGGAGAAAACTTGTAAAATTATAACTTCATTTCCACTTTTGACAGTCAACAAACAGTCAAATTGACAAATGACTAAATTGGGTAAAAATTGTATAGTTGAAGACTTAATTGGTAAGAATGATAGTCGAGGACCAAATTGATAATTATGACATAGTCGAGGGACTATTTTGGTATTAACTCTATATTTTATATATATTACGCTCAACATTACTGCCTATACACTTCTAGCTACATGGTTGAAGGTTCGTTAACTATTCTTTGTAAAAAATAAAAAAAAAAATGTGACAGAATTCGACGGCTGCAAGCATTCATTGAATTTGAGCAGCATATCAAAACATTCATTATATTTAAATTAAAAGTTCATCACTCTTGAATTAATTATTTATCAAGACTAAATGGCATAAGCTTTAGTTCATTATACCCTCCGTTCAAAGTTTGAATTATATAACTGACTGATTCTTGAAGGAAAATGGTTCAACCACCCCAACCAAATGACTAATTCATGCAAAACCAAACCCTACCTAAAGTCAAAGTTGAAGCCTTTTTAACCTTGTATATTTAAGGTATTCCCACCTGAGTGAAACATGATTCTCGCACCTAAAAATTACGAGTTCGATTCTTACCGACATTTTCTTAATTGAACCAGTTACACAAGGCACACGCCCTTTGAATGGTGACTATAAGTTTCCCTCATGCGAGTTGAACTATAAGGAGATAACGATGACCTCAATGAGTTTGAGGTCGTATGATCCGAATCATTCAGGATAACACCTAGTGGACTAAGATCGATCATTCCATCTAAAATGGTTCCTCGACTATACAAAATTTATAGACTACAAAGTCATTCAGTCAAAAATGGTTCCTCAACTATACAAATTCTATCAAAATGGTTTCTCAACTATACCAATTCTATCAAGTTCCCATTCTATTATGAAGTTCAAGATCAATTTGGTAAAATATAATCCAAATAGCTGAGGGACCATTTCAGGATACACCCTACTAAGTAACAATAGGAGGCATGATCAAGAGGAGAATACAAGAGGATAAAGAAAGAAAGAAAGAAAGAATTACTTTCTACTTTGCTGTTTGTGATTACAAAGAATGTGTTTTCCCCATAGATAAATGGACTAAAATCCCCATAGATAAATGGACTAAAAACATATGTTCCAAGATACCAAACATCCTAGTAAAATGTTGTCCATTCTCTATAGGCTAGACAAGAAGAAAGGGAGGAAATGCAAAAAAAAAAAAAAAAAAAGTACCCAAAAATCAATTAGCTAAGAGGCTTAGTTCAGCTGCACAACCCAAAAAAACTAGATCAAGGGAACTGGAACGAGCCTCCGATTTCCGAACTACCTGCCGGGGGGTTGATGGCGACCCAGAGGAGGGAGATGGTGATGGCAATAAGCCCCGACCAAACGAACACGATTGTCGGAGTCCTACCCCGTCGTCCCATTAGTCCTTTCGCAAACGGATAGAGATGCGCCAAGACCCAGAAGCTAAAGAACACGCCCCCGAGCAAACGGCTCCATTGCGGGATGCTACTGTATATCGTCCTGCTAAACCCAACCGCAATTGCTATCAAGTTTATCATCATGATTGTGATTGGCGGGATCATCAACGAAGACCACTTGATGATGTAAAGATCGGCGAATTCATCATCGTTGTCATCGCCAGCTGATTTCGATGTCAGAGTGAACGAGATTTCGATCCCGGCAACCACTTTGAGTAGCCCCTGAAGCACAGCAGCAAGATGGGCGCTCGTTCCCCCAATCAACCAGAATTGCTCGTTTCGCCACCATTCCTCGAGGTTTATGCCGGACCACTTGATCTCGAGGACAGCAAGCAGGCAGAGAGTCAGTGTGATGACCAAGAGGTAAGTGAGGAACGTGACGTTTAAGGACTGGACGATGAACTGGCCCGAGAACAGCGAGAGAGCTGGAAGGAAGCAATAAACGATGAGGAAAATCGAGGTGAAAGGGTAGATGCCAACATTTAGGTAGGCAATTCGCTGCAATAACTTCATCTTGGGACTAGCCAAGAAAGCGTTGTTACGGGAGAAGAAGATCTCGACTGAACCCGTGGCCCAACGGAGGACTTGATGAAGCCTGTCTGTCAAATTGATCGGGGCAGTTCCCCGAAAAGCATCTCTCTTGGTCACACAATACACAGATCTCCAACCCCGGTTGTGCATCCTATATCCCGTTACCACATCTTCAGTTACCGACCCGTAAATCCATCCAACACGGTTACCCCATTCCGTTTTGTCTTCATACCAACACGAGATCACACTAATTGCTTCAGCAACGGTCGAGGCATCGAGAAGCTCTCGGGGAATCGTTAAAGCCCCGGGGGGTCGTCCATTCTTCACTGCCGGGTGATCAGCAAGTGGCCTGCCTTGGAATTCCGCCACCGGGATGGAATCAATAAGGAAACTCGAGTTCCCAAACCTTTTAGGGAAAGAAGCAAGGTTCATTTCCTCATCATCAAAATCACCCATTCTGAGCGCCCTATTCTCCTCGGGAGCATTTGCAACACTAGCATTCTTCTTACGACGAGCAAAGCAACAACTGCAGCAACCCGGGTGATACTCCTTAGTCCTCGGAGGGTCAAAACCGTAAAGAGCCGTCCTCCGGAATAGGCAACCGGTACCCACATAAACCGGACCTTGCAAGCCATCCAAGGCTCGCATGTTCACATCGAAGAAAACCGTGTTGTGATTCGCATAGCGATCCGAAGGGTCAATTCCTTCAAACCTTTGAGGAAATTGCACATAGCACAAACGGTCACCGCCACGGTCCATCATAAAACACATTCCCTCTCTTATTGCCTGCGAGTTATAAATGTAGTGATCACAATCAAGGTTGAGAATAAACGGGCCATTGGACATGATTGCTGAAGCTCGAACCAATGCATTCATCGCCCCAGCCTTCTTGTTGTGATCATAGCCAGGTCGTTTCTCACGAGAAACATACACCAACAAGGGAAGCCGAATATCGACTTCTGTAAAATCAAGAGGATTGCCTTCAGCAGAATTCCCGTGTAGCGGTTCATCACTCGGGGGTTTCAACATCACCTATACAATTGGGCAAACGAGCAGAAATTAAGATGTAGATTCAATTCGGTGGAAATTATTTTGTTTTTACATTTTGGCATAAAAATCTTATTCCGGGCTACTAAGATTATTGACATTTAAAGAAACATAAGCTATGTTTGGCAAACCTAGCTGAACAGGTAGCTGAAAGCTGAAAAGCTATAAGCTAGAAGCTGGAAACTGAAGAGCTGTTAACTAACTGATTATGCTTAAAAGTGTTTGGTAAAATTAGAAACCAATACTTCAAAGTTTCTTAATATTGTTTCCCTAGTTAATTCGTTTCTAATATTTATTTATTTTATTAACGAGTGATATAGTATCTCGATTAATATGCTAAGTTCGTGCAAACGAGGTTACCTGTATGATTCCCGCATGATCACCCCTTGAATGCTCGGGAGATGTAACATTCCAGGTGCCGGGCCAGTGGGTTCCATCTGCCATCCAAGTGGCTTTCGTGATTTTGACGGGTTCCAACAGTTCATCCCCAGCCGCCTCTCTTTGAAGCTTCATAGCCTTAATTTCTTCCCGGGCATTATAGGCATCAGAGCGTCGACGTATAGAATCAGGAAGGCTGTTGATTCGAACTTTGAACTCATCGAACTCACGCTTCACTCGTCTACGATCCTTGACAAAATCTTGACGCACCTTATTCTTGTATGGATCTCTCTTCAAGTTGAAGTAAGTATCGGGATTCCTTGGCTCAATATCGTGTTTTCGACAAAACGGGACCCATATGTTGGCGAAACTAGCGGCTTCTGCCATGGCCTCGAAGGTCAGGAGGGCACCTCCATCATCAGAAACATAGCAAGAAAGCTTTTCAACTGGGTAATTGGCAGCAAGAATAGACAGTATGGTATTAGCAGTAACAAGTGGTGGCTCTTTCTCGGGATCGGCTGTGGAAACAAATATGTCGATACCGGGAAGATCAGATTTCCCCGAGGGATTGGCGGGTGTAGGCGTTTCGAATTTTTCCTTTAGAACATTAAGGTCAGTTGCTCGATTAATCGGGCACAACTTGGGAAGTTGATCTAGCAGCCAGGAGAACGCAAACCAAATCTCGCATATAATGGACATATACCATAACCATATCGCATCGTCATTGGGGTGGGTGATTCTCCATTCAAGAAATAGGGCGAGTACAACAACACGAATCAAAATCAAGAGCCTGTCAAGCACATTCCAAAAGTCAGAAAACTTTACAAGGATCAACAGTAATGTTTCAACAAATTAACTCTTTTTGACCTTTGACATGGCTCTGATACCAAATTGAAGCAT